AATATAACAGATCAAGCTTCAGTTTGTACATTGATTTGAAAAATCTTAACAATGTTGATTCAAAAAGAAAAGTTACATTTTTCGAGAGAAAATCTGTGAATTTGCAAAAATCTGCAATTCAAATAAAATTATATATTATTACCATGCACAAGGATTGACCAGAATCCTGTAACCGGCATAGCTCCGATCGCGATCCCAGTTGAATTACCAGACAAGGTTAAGATCCCTCAATATGCCAGGATCAAAACGGGATTTTGGTACAATTTGCAAGTTGATTGGAAAAATGGTTTAACCGTTTATTGGTTTCAAAAAAAATCATAGCTAAAAAACTGCATAGAAAATACGTGTTTAATGGTGGGGATGTAATCTAAACTTTAGCAAAAAACGAGCTAGGAGGGCAGTGCAGTGTGCAAAATGTTTACAGCGGCCTTGATAATTATAGGACGTGTGTAATATCAACATGACAATACTCTTGAATTATATCTATGCTAGGACTTAAATTGAAACTTTGTAGTGCAATTAATATTGATCACTTCCACGCCATTGTACAGGCAGATCCGTCTGAAAAAATCGATCTACCGACACAAGAAACATTCAAAGGATTTTTTACGTTTTTGAATCCCATTAGGTCCCCTTTATGGCTGACCAGCTTTTCCAAACTTTCCCACGTGTCTTAAGGCCACTTTTTGTCACTTTTACCACTATTTACCACCTTTTGACCTTTCTTGTTTGTCGAATATCTTTAGTTGTGAACATCGTAAAAGGTTGCGGATTAATCCAGGGTGTTCATCTTATCAGGAAGAAAAACTTTCGTATGAAGACAATTTTTACAGTTTTACAATTAGTTAATTGGATAATTATCAGTTAGCTAATTAGCAAAAAATTTAAATTTTTTATTGGCTCAAAATGAATAGCTTAAAACGCGGAGGAAAGTAATTTTTAGAAAAACATTTTTTTCTACCGTAGACTTAAAAATCTTTTGAAAATTCGAAATATTTTTTTCGCCAAAAGTGATTCGTTTCAAGAATACTAAAATCACCAATATTTGTAGTTGGAGTTCAGTAAATCTAAGTGAAAAGGTCTGAAACTGAAAAACATTAACCACACGATATTAGAGTTTCATAATTAATTACAGTGCAGCCTTATCGATTTTCACAGAAACTGCACCAAAGGCACAGTCAAGATCGAAGCGATAGCCTGCTGTACTATCATTTTATTGATGTCAATGATGAATCAGTGGGGTTAAGATAATCACATTTGTAATATATAAAACCTCTATGTACCGTCAATTGTGCTAATCTACAGGGTGGGCCAAAAGTCAGTACCCATATGTTGGTCTTAATAGCTCAATCACTGAGTGCCCAATTGAAATAATTCTTTCTGGTATGACTTACTACCACCACTGGTTCGAGGAATTTGTCAAATCGAAAAATATTCGTGTTCATTCTTTTCAAATGAAGGTTCATTTTTGCATTTATTTGATAGTTTGGATAGTCGGATCAAGCCAAATTTCATTGAATAGAGTTTGGCCATTTAAATTACGTTTGTCCTAAAAAAATGAGAGTTCTAGCTTCTCAGATGACCGAGATATGAAGCATAACGAGTTTGTTCATTACGTGTGATCAGGTAATTGGGTTGAGGCTAGATCCGCATTATGGGAATCGTGTAGAGAGCCCAATTACGGTGCCGTAATTGGGTAATCATTGAGTACCCAATCAATTTTGCTAACGAGATAAACAAATTGCTTGATAACTTCGTCATTTTAAATCCGTTTCGCACCATCTTTTCAGATCATATTCCGGATTTAATGACCTATTGCAATATGTTACAACAGAGTCTCTAACATGTTCACAAACACCAGTATAAGCAATTCAATGTTGATTGGGTGTGGCCCCCAAAAATCGAATTTTCAAATTTTGGTGACGGAATCCTCGAACAAGTAGGTACAGTATGCCATCTGCAAAGCAACAACTCTCAAATATAAAACACGGCGGAGGTATAAGACCCAACGTCTTTACTGACTTTAGGCCCACCCTGTAGATAAACCGGCCTACCTGGATTACCAGACCTCTTCTTTTCCTCAACAATCAGACCAAGTTGTGCAATAAATGTGATGTATAATGGCCCATAGCGCATTTGGTGGGTGATGTAAGTAATATCGAGCTGTATTCAATCACAATACGACACAATACGTCTAGATATTATATGGCCCTTAATGCGGTATATGAAACGCTTTATACCGCGAGAGACCCGGTATAGAGAGGTTTTACAGTTTATCACGAAAACGTCTACTTGGCCTCATGGCTCATTTACAGCTCGAAGAAGGCAAGAAAAGACCAGGGAAACCAAGGAAATGTAATGTATCATCACATTTCCTTGGTTTTTTACGTTTTTGAGTCCCATAATTTCGACAAACAAGAAAGGTGGTAAAAAGTGGTAAAAGTGACAAAAAGTGGCCTTAAGACACGTGGAAAAGTTGTTCAGCCATAAAGGGCACCTAATGGGACTCAAAAAAGTAAAAAAACCTTTGAAAGCTTCTTGTGTCGGTAGATCGATTTTTTCAGACGGATCTGTCTGCAATATTACCAAATCTGTTACCGATAAAAATTTAAAACAAAGTTTTTATCTCTACAATAGAAATTCCAGGTAAAACAAATTTATACAGAGAGCATGCTGAAAACTGAACAGTTGAATGTAATAACATGGCAAGCCTCCTTGGTAACACATGGTAAGCGCTATTATTTAAGATAATTGGATTAAAAGCAAAAGCTTCAACAAATGCAAATGGTCATTACCTACTACTTAATAATACTGAAATCCATCACACGTCAAGTATCATTCAACAGGGGCATTTTTCTGATTATCAGATCGAGATGTGGAAGTATACTCCTCAGGAAAATTGGTCTTTCTTGATCCACAGTAGGATGTTTTAACAGCAATATCGTATTTCTGTAAAATGTTTCTAACTTTTCCTTGTAAGCCAGTAATCTTATATCGACACAGCCTTTTGTCGTGGTAAAACTGGCACTTCTGATGAGGAGCGAAATCACGGTTAACTTTACATTTTTTAAGTGGTACAACCGGGAAAGCGCACTCGTCTGGAGCACTTGTTTTAGGAACTACTGCATATTTCAGAATCTTTTTACGGGATTTTTTGATTACCTGCTCCCAAAGAGTTTTAGAACTGAGCACAGTCTTGAACAGATGGGCAAGTTGTTTTGAGTGTCGTGGATGCATCAACCAAGCCACGATTTTATTCTTTGTATCTAAATCAGGGATAAAATTCAACAAATTTAAAAGAGTGTGTAACACTGGAGCCTCAATTTTGAGATAACGTTTTATTTCTTTACGTCTATCGTTTAAATCTAATGGAGTTTCCTCAATCAGTTTCTTAAAGTTACCTAATTTGGTTTTCGGTGCTGGTTTCGTTTTCTTATATTCTTGATAATGATGTGGTATTTCTCGCAAGCACTGAAGATAAGATGATCGGTCCTCTTTGATTGTAGCAGAATCCTCGAGATATTGAAGGTGGTGAGACAATGATTTACCTTTTACAGCATATCCAGGAGCGGTTTCAGTTTCTTGAGCAGTTTCTGCAACTGTTTCTACGACGAAATCAAGTTCGGAATCGGCATCGTCCTCCATATCTTGCTCATCTTCTTCAAATTGCATTTCTTCCTCGCTACATTCCATTTCATCCCCGTCCAAGGTCCCTTCTGGATGAAGAAAACTCTGACAATCCCAAACACCAGACAATGATTGATTATCCACTTCCAGATCAGGTTCATGTGTTTCATCAGGTTCATGTGTTTCATCAGCACATTCAGGAGCGGTTTCAGTTTCTTGAGCAGTTTCTGCAACTGTTTCTTCGACGAAATCAAGTTCGGAATCGGCTTCGTCCTCCATGTCTTGCTCATCTTCTTCAAATTGCATTTCTTCCTCGCTCCATTCAATTTTATCCCCGTCCAAGGTCCCTTCGGGATGAGGAAAACTCTGACAATCCCCAACACCAAACTGATTATTATCCACTTCCAAATCAGGTTCATATGTTTCATCAGTTATATCGTACGTAGAAACCACCATCATTGTTTCCTCACAACTGTCAGTATTACTTGAGGATATTTCAGGAAGTTCCAAACTCTCTGTACCACTAGCGAGAGGATTGTTTTTACTACAAGGGGGGAGTTGTTGAGAAGTTTCTAAGTGGGTAGAGCTACCACTTGCACTAGTAACATCAATCGAAGAGCCAACATGAGAAGTGCTACTTGCATGTTTGGTTGTCCCAGGTTGAGGTAATGCTTCATCAGGAGTGTGATGATATTTTCTTTCATTAACTACCTCCGATTCATATAAGTCACCTCTCTGATTAGCGAAGTCGAAACCAGTGGAGGGCTGTTGAGAAGTAGTTACATCAATCGGAGACGATATTCCATCCACCACATTTTCCCTGCTATCGGGCCTTTCAATACTGCAAGAGGGGTCTTCTGAAGACATCGCAATCCTGAAACCATTGGTTTAAATGGAAATGCTGATACAAAAACAATACTGAAATACGGTGTCCCTACCATTCACCCAGCAATTCAAAATACAACGATTGCGGCATCTTAATTATGATACGTTATTTAGAGAAGAGGGCTTAATGCCCGAGAGTAACCAAAAGTACCAGGGTTTCAAGGTATCTTCTTTTTTTTTAATGTGCGAGAGTTACTTTTGGTACCTATATTATGCAGCTTAATAATATAAGCCTATTTTTCACATCAAATAGTTCTGGCAGTAAATTTCATTTGGCTCATCATGAATAGCTTTAAAATGTTTATATAAATTTAGACTAATAGTATAAAATTGTTTACAACAGACGAAGAAACATTTCAAACATAATTATCCACAATTAGGAAACAATTAAGATACCACATAATGTAAGTAGAAAGCGAAACAATTGAAAGATCGAATTTGCTGCATCTAAAACTAACAGTTCTATATAACATACAAATTAAAAAATTAAGAAGATAATAAATCTGTTTAATTCTAAGTAAAACTTTTGAACTCTAAATAGGTATGCAGGAAACGTCTTCAAATTTTGTCATCGGGTAGAATGCAAAACTTTACCTGATTTGGCCAATCAAATCCATCAACAGTAATTGATTTAGGTAGAGTCTGTTTGAAAGACTGTACATCCTTCCATAAACACCACTCGTGTAAAGGCCAAGTATCATAACATTCCTTCCAACAGGACATATTAAACTGATGATGAGAACTTTTTAAATGCTGGAACAATTGCTCATTTGTATCTATTCCGTGTTTCTCAAAACATATAATACACCAAATGAACATACGTTCACACCTAACGTTGTTGATAAACATAGGAATATACTTGGGAGGTTGCGTGTGCTTCGTCCACCAATCTCCAGAAATCATTTGGTGCAAGTAAGATTTCTCATGTGTACATTTTTCAGCCAGAGACACGAATTCTTGCCTGCAATGTCCACAGTACATCTCTTGGTTGATGTTTGCTTTTCTTGCCATTAATGGTAGGATCCTTTGATGGCCGTCACGTAGCAAGTATTTGGCTTTATAGTCAATCAACAGCATTTCATTGCTCTCTGAACTGTCCTCGTCACAATATTTTATCTCGTTTTTATGAAATAGATTCTTTACGTACGATCCTAGTAAAGACATTTTCGACTGCTCAACTGTAGGCTCTAAAGGAACAAACTTGGAACTAGGAAGGGAGATTAGTGTCGATGAATCATGACTACCTAGTATTTTTCCTTCAGACGATCCGGGGATTTGCTCTTTACTTTCTTGATACACATTATGGCCGTCACCTAAAGTTGCATAATCACAATATGATGTATCACTGACAGAAGGAACCGCCTTGTAAGTATCTCCAATAATCTGGTTGAGAAGATTTTTGGAAACAGATTGGGTGAGTTGTTCCTCTATCAATCCACTGAGCAGTTCAACACGACTACTCCCTGCTGGAATAGAAGCTATCATAGATTTGACATCTGGAGCATTGAGCACACTAACGAGAACAGATTTTAATACATTGGCAACGTCAGGACCTTTTTTCTCCTTCGGAGCAGAATATTTATCCATCAGGTTTGAGAGTTTAGGAGTTGGAGATCTATGTCTTGGAAAGTTGAAGCTGAATGATTTAGATTGTGATCTGGATCGTGATCTGGATCGTGATCTGGACCGTGATCTAGACCGTGATTTGGACCGTGATCTAGATCGGGATCTATTTATTTTGTTACGACTTGGAGAAAATCTGGATGTTCTAAAATTTTCAGTGCTCCTAGATTTGAATCTTGAGTTTTTGGGACTTCGTGATCTGTAGCTAGAAACAGTCGGCTTTGATTTGTGGATTTCAGCATCTCTTGAAGAACATTGTTGCATGTTTCTTCTATTAGAATCATTATTACAGTCTTTTATAGTTGAGAACGTGCTATGATTGAGATTGACCCTTGTACTTACATTGTAGTTAACTCGAGCACTTGTGTTTTGGGGCTCATATCCAAGGGAAGAAAACTTTGGGATAACAATACCACTGTGTGAGTCTGAACTAGATATCATATCGGCCATGTTATATTTTTCACGATCCACAAACTTCCTCTGCTGAGTAGGCTTACGAAGATATGGATCAGGAACATCAGGTATCTTCCTTCTTTTTCCCATTGCCTTGAGCTCTGAAAATGTAGATGATCATGTGTTAACAAGTCTAATATTTGAGTCGCTATCATCCAATTACAGTGATCATTTAAAGGAATGGTACATTATTTGTTAAGTGAATGAACACTGGTAGGTAATGAATATTGCTGAAATTATAGAGATGAATAGATCAAACAATAAAAAGCGTCTTAAGTTTTGTAGGGGTACCAAAGCGCAGAATGTATTGAAATAATATGACACCCGTATCCGTTCTATATCATTGACTAAGTAATAAATTGTTATAAATGCCCTTAAATTGCCTTCTGATCCCATATTATGGTATCGCATACATATATAATTACCTAATATAATGCTCTATAATTATCGCAATTAATTAATTAATTCTAAGTGAACTACTTAATAAGTTATCGCTCAAATGGTCAAAATAATTAATTACTTACGATAACCTTTATTAAGTGAAGACAATGGAAACACAAAATCTGGTAAACGTTATTATATCATGTGTACAATCCCTTATCGCCTCAATGTTTCGCTACTAAACAATAAAAATAGCAGTCTAGAAATTGTTCTAGTTCATCACAGTGTCACAGTGATTAATGATATTGTAACTAAATTCAAACATTTTCAATCGTTTATACATTATCACCAGACACCACAATATAACAAATAGTTATAGTACCGTAGATAAAAGAAGGTGGTCAAAGTGTTAAACAAATAATTGTGACAAACATCTCACAAAGAAACAGTTTAGGATACTTAAGCAAATGATGTTTTAGCTGGCAATCAGCTGAGAACATATTTAACATTATGATATTCAACATATTCAACATATTCAACTTATTTAAGTCAATAATTTCGTGTAACTAAAGTTCTCATAAGATCAGCAGGATTTGGCGGCTGAGAATTGTCTGAAGTAGTCACAGGGTTCATGAGTAGGACGGGCCTCCTTTTTCCTGGGGCACTATTCTCTGTACGAACCTCAAACGACTGAGGGTCTGAATTCAGATCGTCTTTAATTTGAGTTGAACGTGCTTTTGATTCTGGGACGATATCATTACGATCTTTATTTTCTTCATCCGGTATGACAATAGCCGTCTGCCCGGTTAATCCCGTATAATCTGACGAATTAGATTTTTGGTTAAGAGCAAACAGATGATCAGGTGGAGCGAAACCAGGAGGAAGAAGGGTGTGACCACGAATTGCTGGCAAAGCTGGTGACGATGAAGATTGAGTAGTAACATTCTTGTATTGATTAATCGCAGTTGAGTAATTAGACGTTTGTATTGATTGTTCATTACTGTATGTTAAAGTTGGTGGTGGGTTTGCTGGTGTTAAGTCGTGAACATTGGGAGGCAATCCTGCAATATTCGGCGGAAATTGCGGCATATTCCATTGGGGCATCATGGGCATCATCTGAGGAGGAGGAATCATAGGCATATGTCCGGGCGGGATCATGGGCATGTTTCCAGGGGGCATCATAATCCAGGGCTGGTCAGACCAGGGTCCACGTCCAGGAGGGGCAACAGGTTGTCTGAAATGGTCATACGGGGGGTTGTCAACCATCATTGTAGCTTCTAGCGATATTTCATCTCGTGGTTTGTGACATTTCACACAAAGGTCAGGAGGCGAGTTGACATGAAACAATTTGCCACAGTGCATACATTGCTCATACTTAGCTGTGGCATTGACAGAGGCATTTGCTTTGCTGGGCACTTTATCAATGTCAACTTTTAACAAATCTTTGATTTCAGTTGCGGATTTTGTATCCAAAATACCATTGACAATACTGTCAACTGAGACATTGAACTTTGACTCCAAGGTCTTTTTAAATGCTGCTAATTTCTTGTAATGCTCCTCTGTGTACTTTGTGTACATTTTGGACATGGTGGATGAACTACCATCTTGGCTGCGGTTACTGTCGTCAGCTTCTTTACTTCTGTGACTGCGACTACTGCTTCCAACTTCTTTGCGACTGTTGGTTCGGGACTCATTTTTGATTCTAATCTCAATATCAAGTTTATCCTCCTTATAGTAGCTAGATTTTCTATTCTTCGATCTCTCCATTGACCTTGATCTGGACCTATCTCTAGACCTATCTCTAGATCCCCGTGATCTGTGAGACCGAGAACTGGATTGTCTTCTATAATGTCGTCTGTGACGTGATCTGCTATGAGATCTGCTCCTTGATCTCCTTAAAGAACCTCTGTCACTTGTGCTTATACGTCGAGATTCCAGCTTTTTACGGAGATCACTTCTTTCCTTTACAACAACTAGATCTGAATCTTGTTCGTCGCTGGAAAACTTACTTCTCAAATGGGAAGTTTTAACTTTAGGTGGTTCATATTCTACTTCTGCTCTATCATCATGAAGGTATCCTTGCCTCGCATCTGTATCCGACTCTTCTGAGCTGCTGTCCCGGGTAACATGAGAGGGCGAATAAGCTTCCATTACTAGCTACTAATCTGAAATATAATGATGAGTACATTGGATTATACAGTTTACACGCAAAATGTACATATTATAACATATTTTCAATCATTGAATTTGAATGATACGGATTACGGACAGGGGAGAATATAATCAACTAATTTTCTTAATATCTTTGGATGAATTTGTAGATTAGATATTAAAAACGCCATTTTGAACACTGAACAGTAGATATCAAAATCAATCCTTCAATTCAAATTTGAAATCAAACATTAGAAACTGAACACAGTAACATTATCTATATATCATGAGGCGGCATGCTTGAAGCACTTGCTTGTAATAAGGTAGAAAAAATACCGATGAGCGAGGTGATTGCAAATGCCCATGAACATTAAAACGTGTTATTATAAGATGTCATGCAGCCGCTGTTAACATACCAATTAAAACTCATGGGCAGTTCTAACTTCTAGGGCTCATGCTGCTGAAACTGCAAACACCATGTTTATTGGTTATTGGTTATAATATTGAAGGGCAAAGATAACACTATTAAAGGACCAGTTAACTCAAAAAAAAGTTATCCTCATATTTTGACAGATTGTGACAAATAGCAAACTGAGCAACGAATCGAAATTCCTAAATCTCTAACTGCTCTCTAACGCGTGTAATTAGCGTTTGTATTATTTTGGCGATGACGTCATAAAGTCCCTTGCGCGCACAGAAGAGCTCGTGAGACTGTATTTTACAGGTAAAAATGGACATAATACAATATTTCTCCCCTAAATAACTCGAAAAATAAGTGTTTTAGGGTACATGTTGCTTCATAAGTTGTATATAAACATGGCCATTCTGCACAATTTGCAATCATTCAAAAATCTGTAGGGCCTTCATAGCCCAATTTACAAGATACCCATACTTTTGCATGATTTCTGGAACCGGAAATCAGTTTTTCGCCAATAACTGAAAAAGTAAGCACTTTAAGGCATCTGTTTCTTCGTAAGTCATATATAAATATGCTAATTGCGGTTCTTTTGCACCCTGTCTAAAGACTCTATCACGATCCTATCGAAAATGGGCTCAGCACCACGCCCAAAATGGTTTTTGGCAAATTTCTCGAAGAGTAAGGATTTTAGGCCATGTGTTGCTCAGTAACTCCTATATAAACATGCATATGCCGCTTCGTTTAAGCCTATTTAGAAGTCTACGGCCTTCAGAAGCAAAGGGTCGGTTACGTTATTGGGTCAATATCGGCGTGGTCAATATGTCTCCAACCGAAAATCGTTTATTCATACTTTTGAGAAGGTCTTTGCAAAATTTCGTGAGTATACGAAAATTTGCAGGTTCAATTCCATAAATGTCCTTAAATGACTGGACTACACTAGTTTAGAGTTAACTTTAGAGAAACTCATAAATCATTATTATCTAAAATTAAGCTGTCAGTGTCCATGATCAACCTATGGCTACAATGTTTTACATGAAAATTGAAATGTAAAAATCAGGAGTAATATAATAAGTGTATTTCTAGATTAAAGTGCTATCTCATAGTTTAAGAATTGTATAGATTAACGTATGTCGTTTAGCCATCTAAGAATCGATCGTGCCGCAATATATATGGCCAAAGAATAATAGGGTCTTGGAAATTCTATATTTGTTCAGTGGGTCGATTGACTGAACACGTTTGCACTTGGTATTTAATTTTACCAGTAGTTTATTTATGTTATGTACCTACCGATGATCATACAAGTAGGACGATAACTAGGTAAGTCAAATTCAAAACACACCGCTCACCGTACACTCCAATCAGTATTACGTATACCGGGTATTTTTCAGTTCCCACGGCACCGTTCTGATAGGAGCTACTTCTACTGATGGTCCGATGGGAACGGCCGTAAAATAGCCAGACTTCATGTCTCCTGTACTGTCTGGCACGTGTGGATTAAAGTAAGAAATTTCGCTATGCTAGAAATATAATTGCTCTCGGAACTATGTCTTTTAGGATAGCGAACCATTTGACTGCTCGCATTCTTCCGAACAACTGTAATATTATATTACAGAGTTACACTCTGATCAGCTATATTTAATATATAGCACATTATTTTGTGTATTAGTTTCATGGACTGGGGAAAAATAATCGGTACAGTCTCCCTTCGTTTTAATGAAGCAATGAAAACAATCCAAAATTATCACATATGACATAACTTGTAATAGCAGAAACTTTCTAACCGTACATTCACCCGCCACTGTTCAAGAACTTATGTCACTGTTTAAAATCCTGACGTGAGCACTGTACATCCAATCAGCTATTCATATAGTTAGGGTGATAGCCAAAACTATAAGGATTTTGGAGAACTAGGGAAATAGTCATAACTCTAAAATTTGAGTGAGTTACACGTGTTTTATTGACGATGATAAACATTTGTGCATTGTATTACGCTATGCCAGCGCGCACTGAGGGACTTTATGACGTCACGCGGCCACAGCTTATTATTGCAATAACACGCGTTACACGTAAGCTAGAGAGTTGGTTCTTTCGGCGATACAATTTTTTACGAGTTTGTCACAGCTGATTTAAATCTTAGCCAAATTGGAGACTACAAATTTTTCAGTTAACTGGTCCTTTAAAGTTAACAGGAATGAGGAAATACTCAGAAATTATGCTTTCTATACTTGCATAGTTTGTCCTAAATATGATATAATTAATAGATTCTATTTCACTGAAAACTTCGACACTTGTGGAGAGGTACAAGCCATATTCTGAAATTTAATTGGTCGCTGCTAAAATATGATTGGTCAATGGATATCACATGTAAAAATAAACATGGCACACTTCCCCAACAGAGTCTATGTTTTCAAACTTTTAACGTCCTTCAATACCTAACTGAGAGTAATTTCTGCAACTCTTAATTTGGTAAGAGTGCCAAAGTACAATCATCATTTACATCAGATCTTACAGAAAATTTACTATTGCCAGTAAGTAAATATTAAGTAAAAAAGCTCTCAAGATGACAATGGAATAGTTACACTGACAACAGTTCAACAGCCGCCAAAAAAGTTTACTATTGTAATATATATGACAATTTAGTGTGACAATATTATATAATACAAAATGTAACAAATACATTAAGAGAATTTCAATTAATATTTTTCATCAGATCGTTTACATCAATTAAAGTGACAAATTATACTCAAATCAGTGGTAACAGTGGAAGCTCTTATCTTATCAAAATAGCGAAATCTTTAGTTCCATCATCAGACCGGATGCATCCGGATGGTTATGATAGATTTCTTATTTGGTATGATTGAACAGTCTACATACATACCAGCAGAAACCTACTTAATTTTGAAGATACCGTCAGAAATACACACGAGAATTTTTACTAAATCGCCAAAAACATGCAGTCTACGTGGACAAGCCTGAAATATTTCTTGTCATTCGGGTTTCAGACTGCCACGGGCACCTTCTTAATGAAGCTCATTAGAAAAGGTACCAAAACGGTTTCAAATTGTAAGCATCTGGTCTATAAATCTGACTATTATAGCCAAAAAAAGAAAGTCTCAATTTCTTGTCCATCATCAAAAAATTAAGTAAACCCATACCAATATATTATTATTATCACATGCAAACTTTTAACTAATTCTTTGTAATACTCTTTTAACAAATTGTGACGTCTAGATTAATGCTGATTAGATGAAAGCCCGAAAATTAAATCAGTTCAGCAAAACCTAATTGAAGGATTTCTTTGGGAAAAACGTTATCTCTATCAATTAACTTATTAACTAGAGTTTGTAACAAGATCACAATCAATTAGGCTCAATATAATACTTGATAGGTGGTTTTGGCTGTTGACGAGCCATCCAGCGATGAAGCTGCTGTCGATGTTGACTAGAATCCTCGTGCCTGTCAATAGAGACTCCATTTCCCACCGGAGCATTACAAATAGTACATTGTACCCTGTCTCCAGCATAAGGGGGTCCTATAAGGTACTCACGATCAATGAAGTACTCTCCAGTGACCACCCTGTGACGATGAGTCATGGTGTGCCTGTCAACATCGTCCTTGGTCTTCAGGAATAGGGCACAGTATTTGCAGTTCCTCTGTCGAATCAAGCTCTCCCGACTTGCTGGCTTGATCTTTAGCAAAACATCTGGGTCTGCAAGGGGAGGTCCGAAAGGCTTGGAGGCAGCTGATTCGGAAGCCTTGTTAGAGCTGCCGTTGCTTGATCCAGAGTTCCAGCGAGATCGTTTCAAATCAGCAGTGACATCGAGGGAGGTTGTAGACGAGGTGGAGGAAGAGTTTGAGGAAGAAGAGGAATTTGAAGAAGAACTGCTGCTGCTTACAGTCACATCATCTTTCTTCCTTTTATATTCATCATATTTCTTGTTAAGCAAAACAGGATCATAGTCCAAGCCATCATCTTTTATAAGACCGAGAGCTTTTTTAGGTTTGCCCTTCGTTGCTTTTCGCCTATCTTTACCATTAGTTACAGTACTACGATATTGATTTAGATCCGATTTGCGTTTCCTCGAATCTAACACTGCTTCCTCGCGATATTTGTCTTCAACAGGGGAAGCTCTTTGTCTTCTTCCTTTTGAAGGCGGGTTGAAAATTTCGTCGTCAAGATGATTATGAAATTCCTGTTTGACGAAAGAAACTTCGTCAGAATCACGTCTTCTAGATCCGGAGTCGTATTTGTCCTTCAAAAGTTGCATTCTTATAGCTTTCTCGTCGTTTGAACTTGAAGAGGACGTAGGAGATACAGCAGCAGCTTTAGAGTCGACAGAATTAAACGTTTGGACTTTATGATATCTGTCAACTTTCTTGGAAGGTATCAAATGATCTGATCTTCTCCTACCATTTGTGAAGGAGTTTCGTCGTCTTGCTCTGGATAAACTTGGCACAGTTTCACTATGTTGAACTTCCTGCTGTCTGTTGTCTCTGTTTAAGCCTCTCGAAGGCCTATGGTTGTTGTTATGTAACGATTCATTGGTCGATCTGGCACTTTTGCCATGAGATCCGTTCAATCTGCTATGATCATGAGAACTTACGCCACCACTTTTGAACTGACAATTCCGCTCGGCCCTGTGGTTTAACTGACCCCTAGAATCAGTCTTCGTATCAGAAATACGATATGAAGTTTTATCACTGAAGGTTCTCGCCGGACTGTACACGTTTCTCCTTTTTCTCGTTATCTCCTCATTAGTCACTGATCTATGGTTGTCTCTATTATTGTTGCTTGTACTTGCAAATTGTCTCGAATGATTTGACGTTCGAGCACGAGGGGGGCTCTGTCTTTTCTGTGGAACAGCGTGGTCTGACCGTCTTTGACGATCAATCTCCCGGTCATTCTCTTGCGGTCTACCTGCGATTAAGGAAAACTTAAAACTTTGTTTCCATTGAAGATAATATTAATAAAATTGTCCGGAATTTTAACTCGAAGTGGTCAGTGGTTCAATAATATTATGATAAACGGAAAGTAGTAAATTACTGATTTAATTAGAAGTCCTCAAAAATCTCTGTTTTGACTAGCTGGTTTCTGTATCAGATACAGTAGTATTATATTACATGCTCAGATGTGATAAGGGTTATGACTTATGAATACTACAGGGTGGGCCAAAAGTCAGTACCCATACGTTGGCCTTAATAGCTCCGCCGTGTTTTATATTTGAAAGCTGTTGCTTTGCAGATGGCATACTGTACTTACTGGTTCGAGGATTCCGTCGTCAAAATTTAAAAATTCGAATATTTTAGACCACGCCCATTCAATATTAAAACACCTATATTGTTTTCTCTGAACATGCTGAACGCCTAATTTTTTCAGAGACGGTATATTATCAAATGTTGCATATGATCTAAAAACATGAGGCAAAACGGATTAGAAATGACGAAGTTATCAAGCATTTTCTGTATCTCGTTAACAATATTGACTGGGTGATTATGTGACACCGTGACACGACACCTTAATTGGGCACCCTTAACAATTCCCATAATGTTTAACGGGGTAGTTAACGGGGGCACCTTATCACGTAATTAGGTAAACCAATCACCTGATCACACGTAATGAATAAACTCGTTATGCTTCATATCTCGGTCATCTGAGAAGGTACAGTTCTAATTCTTTCAGGACAAACGTAATTCGAATGGCCAAACACAATTCAATAACATTTAGCTTGATCCGACTATCCAAATTATCAAATAAATGTGAAAATGAACCTCCATTTGAAAAAAATGAACGCGAATATTTTTCGAGTTGACAAATTCCTCGAACCAGTGGTGGTACTAAGTCATACCAGAAAGAAGTATTTAAATTGGGCACTCAGTGACTGAGCTATAAAGGCCAACGTATGGGTACTGACTTATGGCCCACCCTGTAGATATTATATAAGTCGTCAGCACCAAAAACGCAAGAAAACATTCTGAACGATTCATACCTAGTCGACTTTGGTCACGAAAGTGTTGACCATCAGAATGACTAGAGGAAGGAGCTCCGGGTTTATCGGATTTGTTACTGGTGTCATCTGCCGAGATAGTTATCCGGATTTTGCCGTTCTGAAAATATTACAAAAATGTAATCTTAGGATCTAACCTAAAGCTTACTTACCAACTTAAGAATGGGTTAGTTTCAATTATTGAACCAATTGTAACTTGAATTTTGTTACTCATTGTGATATCATTATAGGATCAGTGATTTGAAAATCAAGTCCTTGTTAACTTTATGAAAACGGAACTTAGTAAGAAATAACTGACCGATTTGCGGACGTCTCTGCCAGGACTATCTATGGTTCGTTGGAACCTAGGATTGTTGGTATTCCTCAGACTTGTCACATTCCTTCTCTGTACTGACATTACCTGACACTTCAACACGTGCTAGACGTTAAATAAAATCATACTTTAAATATTTCTGCGCTTAATATGACGTTTTGAATATATATTTTACATAGGAAATATTATCGTGATTTCAAAGCAAATCTGCTCCCAAATGGTCTAAAAGGATCTTACTAATTCGCTCGCCCAAAAATTATCACATGACTTTGGTGTTTATGGTTTTGCAGCCGAACAAAACTGTTTTACATAAACCCTAATCCCAACACTAACCCTAACCCCGAAGCTATTCATAACCCTAACCACAACCCTAACCCGAGCCCTTAACAATCGAATTCGTGTTTAACTAGCCTGTCACGTGACCAAAACAGTTTTTTGCCCACAACTCTCCAGGGAAGTATTTGTACCCTCCGTCATGAACTCATGGGGGGGGGGGGCGGGTGATTCGGAATCAGCGTCCAAAAATACACCGAAATAGATTACTTTCATACCCTTACGGGCTTTTCACAAGAATCTTCTTAAAATTTCGGCGAGCGATTTAGTAGGAGCAGTTCTAAAAGGAAACACATGATTGACAATTCAGGAAAATTTTGATTAAAGCATAATTAATGAAATACGATAATTCGTTCATTTGGTAATAAATAATTATTTAAATAATTATTAATAATTAATATAGTATATGATTAATTATGATAATATATGATTAATCAATAGTCTCACATTCAATTAATGAGATTTAAAAATAAATGCAAATTGTAGCAAAATTCTCAAACAATTAATGGATAACCAGGAAATTAGATGAATATTAGATGGAAATAATAACGTATATTGAATAATATGACTGTTAAAAACTCTTTAAGTCTAAAAATCACTGTTTTTGATGGAAACAAACAATTAATGTAACTTTGACATTACAATTTCGAGTGTTAACGTTAAAAACTATTTCTATATCATTATAAAGTCTACTTACCCACCACTGTCAAACACCAGGTTCCTGATAAGGAACACTTTATCATACCCATCATTGTCAATAAAATTTAGCTTCAAGTAGATTTCCGAACATTCACCCTGTGAATTGCCGTAGATTTGTGGTCGGTGACGGACCTCATTGTATCCTCCACAAAAACATTACAAAAGCTACAAAAATGATAGCAAAAATGCTCGTTCTTCACATTTTGCCAGGTCAGTGTATCTAAATGAGGGTGATGGCTGATAGACTTGAACATGCCTGCAAGGCCAGGAGATTTAACAACTGGTGCATTAAATCGGGGAATAGCATAGTTATCCTGAGCATTTTCAATGAAAAGGAAGAACTGCTGATGCCATTTGGTACATCGTTTATTCAGATGATCAGTTTTAGACTTGAAATTGTACGGAACAACAGTTTCACAAGCATGACATATACACACAATTTGCTGGTTACGAAGGGCTATTGACCTAGGACGCGTATGATACTCCATTAAATGATCCATGAACTTGTGTTTTGGGACTGGAGCTGATTTTGCCGGACAATGTGCCCAACAGGCCACATACGGTTCCAAGCTGTTATTCAAATTTGGGCTTGGTTTCAAAACTATCTTCTGAATAAGCTTTGCACTAGACTGTCTCTTTCTTTTCATGGAAGAATGGAGGATTTTTGTTTTCTTCGTAGGTGAAGAAGTCGTGTTACTTATTTTAGGAGAAAGATTATCCTCTTTCTTAGCTGGTGCCAGAGATTTTTCCTTAACAGGTTTGTCACTGTTGTCTGTCGCCGATGATTCCGATTCATCTTCGATTACAACTTCAATTTTTAGTCTCGATTCCGGGTGATCGTTTGTAATCGAATTGGAATCAAACGACGGATTTGGTCTGATACTTTCAAGTGAAGTTGAGTCAAGGACTGAGGATGAAGAATGGCACCTCTTTCTTTTAGAAGGAGGTTGACACTTGTTTCTAAGATCACAACCTGGTGACGACGATCTGGCTTTTTTTCTTCGTTTGCCATTATTTCTATTTATGATCCAAACATTACCTGAATTTGTTGCATCATCACTGCACGCATTAAGTTGTTTCGACTGATTTATATCAACTTTGCTGATAGCTACACTTTCGCAGCAGTCGGTGTCCTGACCGAGACCAGGAATATTTGATGGCTCGTTTTCGCCTTTGGAAAGTTTGATAATTGCATCTAATTTTGCCTTCTCAGCCTCTGTTTTAAGCAAGAGAGGCGAGTAATAACCTTTAACAGGTGGCAGCAATTGGATCGAAGGCTCATGAGAAAGTATGGGTAAAGGAATACTATGGTCAACGATTACATTTGAAACTATTTCCATTCCCTCATGATCAGTAGACTCTGTGGGAAGTGTATTTGCATTTTGATTGTTCAATTTAGCAGAATCTTCTGAAAATGAAGTCAATATTTTTGGAACAGTTTTCTTGGAGTCAGAAGCACATTTTTTAACACGTTCATTGCTGATTGAACCACTTGACTGAGAGTTAGACGTCTTAGAGGCAGCAGTTGGACTAAGCAGCAACAAGTTGTTCTGTAATTGGTATGCTTGGCTCCGTGAGGTAAGGAGCTCTTCTATCTTACTCTGATTGAATTCGATTATCGAAATCAGCATTTCCTCCTCAGCAGTTAAAGCCATAGTTGTTAATTAGGAATCGGCTCCGGAAACCTGTACAAATATCATCGATTCAGAAAGTTTGAAAACTACATCATGTGCAATGTGCATTCATCAAAAAGCTGATTAATTTTAAATATTTGTCGCTACATATATTGTCTCGTCAACAATCATTATATTAGTTATTGTCATACTGTCATATTATCAAAAATTTGATTCCATATGGTATTTCTAAATTACGAAAAAACTAATAAAAGAAATAGTTCTATAAATATTATAATAACGTTAATATTTTTCATAACGATTAAAAAGAAAAATTCGATGATAATCAGGTATTTATATTTAAGTGATAGTATCAAATCAATAAATTATCCTTTGGGCCCGAAGGTAAAAAAGATTTTACAGACTATTTTCTTGGGTGATTTTTAAGCATCAATAAAACTGTAAAACAATGTTAAATATGTCTTTATCTATCAAACTTCAAATGCTAAAAGTTGACAAAGCGATATAAAATCAAAATCAAATAGGTCTTGAAAATGAAGAAAACAGACGAAATGTTAAAGTACCAACTAATTTTCTTAAATCTAAAATCACACTGAATATAGTTACCATACGTTTCCATAATTATATGATATTCAGTTTGGTTCATCCACACTTTCGACATTGCTCCAATCGTATTTGTGGTCTCAAGATTATTGAGGCACCCATTAATTTTTGGTCGACTTCATGGTTGACTTTCCCACATGAGTAAAACAGGCGACATTCACAGCAGGACAAATACAAATAGCACACAGGTTGTTTAACGGGTCCCCTCAATGAGCTCTGAATGTGATAGCGAGGTTTCCACAAAGGTCTTTACCAGTGTCGAGTGATCTTCAGCTGTCGGGAATGTTGATCTTATGAGCTACGAAGTTTCCAGCTCAGTATCGCAACCTTATCCTCTGAAATATTTGATTGGAGGTCAGACCCATTTAATAGGGAAATGCTGAGCAACACGGTTGATAACAGCCATAGCTAGGCTTTAACATATTATGTGGAAAGATCTAAAATTCTAGTAAAGCTGATTAAATCGGTGATGATAGCTACTAGTCATATCAATGCGAAAATTATTACCTTCTAACATTGGTGTAAACACCACTGTATGTAGGTTTGTGACTGTAAGTGGGGCCACCGTAAGAAACTGCTGGAGGCATGGACTGAGCATAAGACAATGCTGGAGGCATGGACTGAGCGTAAGACAGTGCTGGAGGCGTGGACTGTTGATCACCTTGCTTCAGTTTATCGTATGCTGAGCTGTAAGTACTTCTGGTATTGTCAGAGTAAGATTGGTTTGAAGGAGGTGCATTGTTAAAAATGCTCCCAGCTTTACTACCAGAGGATGGCACAAATTCATCAGGAGTAGGCTTTCTTGCCATGTTCATAATGGGTCTGTTTGGCCATGAAATTTCTCGAGATGTCTGTTCAACATAACTACTATGATGGGAATCAAAAGGAGGATTACGGCTTTGTGAAGTGTTTTCAGAGTGAGGATTCTGGTCACCAAAGTTTTGACCATGACTAGCTGGGACCTTGCCAGACCCAAACCAGGGTTGTTGTGGCTGTGGCTGAAAATTTTGCTCTGTTTGGTAACTGCTCCTATTTGAATCACCATGATTGAACTCTTTACGTGCTTCAATGTTGGGAAACTTATTTGAACCAACATCCAGATTTTTGAATAACTCAGTATTTGAATTACCAGGAGTGAGTCGATTGAACCCTGTAGGTACGTCATTGTTGGGAAACTTATTCGAACCAACATCCAGATTTTTGAACAACTCAGCATTTGAATCACCAGGAGTGATTCGATTGAACCCTGTCCGTACTTCATTGTTGGGAAACTTATTTGGACCAACATCCAGATTTTTGAACAACTCAGCATTTGAATCACCAGGAGTGATTCGATTGAACCCTGTCCGTACTTCATTGTTGGGAAACTTATTTGGACCAACATCCAGATTTTTGAACAACTCAGCATTTGAATCACCAGGAGTGATTCGATTGAACCCTGTCCGCACTTCATTGTTGGGAAACTTATTTGGACCAACATCCAGATTTTTAAACAAATCAGCATTACTATATTTTTGATGCTCATTGATTCCACCATATTGGCCAAAGGACTGAGATCCAATGTTTTGTTGAAATTTGTCACCACTTGAGCTTCTGTCGGAACCAAATGATCCAGAATTCTTTCCATAATGGCTGATCGATGGAGCTAATGTAGAGCCGTACGTGTAAGGACCTTGGAATGGAGCAGAATGTGAGGAGGTGGGACTGAAACTCTTAACCCTTTCACTTGAATTGTCCCTGCTCGTTCTCGGTATTTCTGGTCGAGAGGGATAGTTTTGATAGCTTTGCAAATTATTTCCATGGTTATAAGTGTCATTCACTCCTCGATTGGGAAACTGCTCTTGATTCCTAGAATTCATATTCATAAAAGGTGGAGGGTCCCTCTTTTGCAACATCTCTTGACTATTAATCATACCAGCAATACTGCTGTTTGGTGAAGATATTGGAATATCATGTATGGCAGATGCGGAATTAGGCACACGAGAGGAATAAGGTAGGGGAGCTGATGCCAATGGAGCTTTTTGCAGTGGAGAAGAAAATCTTGTGGTAGGGTCCCGATAATATGGTGCATTTTGTGACTTCATTTGTTCTGGAGTTGAAGGCCGATTTTGATACTTGAAAGGAACTGAACCCGGCACTGAAAAGTAAGATAATATTATACATCAAAACATGACAAATTGAATAAATTTAGTTTGCAGCACACATATAATACATGACTCATGAAATCCCATTTTTTATTGCTGTTTTTTATCATTTAGTGCAATTTAAGACACTGTGAAAGCACAATTGTAATAATACTGACCAAGTTGAGTTTGACTGGAGCTGTAAGGTGGGAAACTTGAACGCTGTGATTGAAAAGATGAAGGAGGCTGATTGACCATGCTTAATGCCATGTCAGGGGTTCCCTCATTTTCATAATTTGTAACTGTAGCTGTAGGAGCATCTCTTCCAATACGATCTCTGTTGCGATCCATCATTACTTCCATCTGCTTGATAGTTTTCATGGCTGATACAATTTTCTTCGAAGTTTCTCTTCTTTTTTTGTGCTCTGCAGTGTTGAGTTGAACATTTACGTCAGGTTGTGTGACTTTAACATAAATCAAGTAATGCTTCTTCGACCTAACATGCTTTTCTACTTGAATCTCAGAGTTGCAGTTGATTTTGCACAAAGAGCAGTGGTATGCATCCATCACGTTATCATCACAATCCTTTACCGTTTTCACTGACATGTATTCTCTTCCAACAGCAGGTGTTTCCGACTCTTGTATTTCTTCCAGTTGTTCTCTGATTTTGTCCTCTTGATCATGCAGTATCTCAGGTTCTGGAACTACTCGTCCTATTTTAACATACGCTTGAACTAACGCTTGATGACTTCTGTGGTTTGCATGCTCATTATATTTCTTTTGCCCTCGACAAATGATATCACACAATTTACACTTTATGACAAGGTCATGTCTTTTGTATTTTTTAACATTTGCTGAATCAGTCTGAGACAGTTGCCGTATTTTTGTTAGGACAGCTTCATGATGTTTTTTGCCATTCAAATGTTTTCGAAAGTGGGACACATCGCTCGACTCAATCATGCATAGCAAACAAACGTGATACCCAACTCTTTGGGATACATACTGGGCTTGTATCTTATCGTAATTACTTGGTTCAGGCTCAGGTTCAGGAACATTGTGCAGAAGAGGGGTTCCGTGATTACCATTATTCTGATGCATTGCTTCTGGAGTAGGATTCTGATACAACCATGGCTGCTTCTGTTCCTGAGTTTGCACAGGGTAGCTTATTGTAGCCTTGAGGCTCTGTTCAACTTCTGGTCGAGTAGACTTCATTACTTCTTTACTTTTGCTGCGCCGATGCGTATGATTAGTTATTTTATTGTCCTCTTCTTTTTCTTTTATAGACTCAGCTTCTATCACAACTTTAGCCACCAGAGTCTGATAACGTTTGATCTTCTTTTCAAGATTAGATGGATCAATGTTGTTAGAAAGAAATGATTTGATTCTGTTCTCAATTGCTTCAATCAGTTCTTGGACATCTGAAGAACTCTTTAGGCCATCAACTCTTGCTGCAAGTGCTTGAAACGCTTCTTCATCCTCATCTTTACCTAACTTGATTTGAATTATTTTACTTGAAGATTCTTTGGCATGGTCATCTACTTCAACAGGTTTTTTCCTATATGCTGGTGTTCTGCCATCTTCAATGTCATTCTTGGCTTCCTCATCCGACATTTCCATATCAGAATGACTGACGTCACTAACTTTTTGCTCCTCGGATGCAACTGAAATGTTATCAATACAAGGACTAATCGCTTCCATATCAAATGGATCAGTTTTCATTTTCTTAATATCAGTGGAAGCATCAGCGCTGGTATTGTATTTCAGATGAAGTTTTTCTAAAATTTGAGGTGACCCCCTTCCATCACTTGAGTCTGAACTAGCTGAACGAAGATGGCTTTTCTTTCTGGTCTTTGTGTTTGAAGGATTGATGATTCCCCGTTTTTCTAAAATAGATTCCATAGCCTCACGAAGTTTTTTCTTCTTATCTTCGTCAATTGGGCCACTGTGCTGAGCTTGAAGCATTTCTTCAGCTTGTTTCTGTATTAGATTCAAAATGGCATCCTTAGATCCAATACTATTTTCTTGGTCCAATAGTGATGTAAGGCTACTTTGAGCATTTTCAGGAGATGTTTTCTTTGGGGAGAGGGATCTTTTTTCAGTTGTTGTAATTTTTGTTGGTGATCTCGATCTATCCTTTGGGCGTTTTGATGGCCTATATTTTCCAGATCCCCTAGATTGTGCAGGTGACCTATTTCTGTAGGGAGATCTGGTTCTCCTTGGGGATCTAGATCTGCGATCTCTCTTTTGTGATTGTGGTGCAACTTCTTTGATTTCAGGTCTATTAGTTTCCAAATGGTCACGACTTTTGTGAATACTGACATCTTTTGAAGTTTGTTTGCTTCTACTATCAAAAACTGGTCTTTTCACATAAGTCGGCTTCCGAATTGAATTGGTTGGCCTTTGGGCTCTTTGATCTACATTACGTTTTCTTACATTGAAACTCTTTGTTAAAATGGGGCTAGAAGAAAGACTGTTATCGGGAGATTCAGGCTTTTCAAGTAATGGTGCAGGACTGCTTCTTCCATTAAATGTTATTGTCCTCTTAATTCTCACTACAGAACTGGCAGGATTTTTATATGAAGGCTGTTTCTCCTCAGCTTTGTTTTGCACAACGTTTGGTGATTCAGGCGGAAGCTCATCAGCAGAAATGTCAGTCAAAGGTGACAAAGCGTCATCATTGATAAGTATTGGTTTAGAAGAATCTTCATTGCTTCTTTCCGATTTTGAAGGAGATGATTCCTTAGAATTTGCTTTGAGAGTTTTGACAATTTTTCCATCGACAACAACAATTTTGGTTCCATCAGCACGTTTGATAACTTTACCAAATGTCTTCTTTTTACCTGAATCATTGATTAACTATTCATCATGATCATCATAACTTTTCTAGGAATCAAAAAATTTAAATGAATATAATTTTTATTTATGCACATTTTCATGTCAATTTGTTCATATTATAATTATGTACCGAGTCACGAATTTAGATTTTCAGATCATGTAAGATCATTTTATTGTGAATCTGCTAAGTAACAATTTGACGATTCGTTTCTAATTTCAAACCTTGAGACGAACCCACGGTAGCATAGTTAGATCTCGTTGGTTGGGTAAAGATTACAGGCTTGACAGGTTCTGAATTCTTTAGCGGTTGTGATGATCCACCAGCCGGGCGGTAAGTTATTCCATCTTTACGAATTATCTTTGTGACTTTCTTTGGAACTGCTTTACTTGTTGCAGACATACCTAATTATACTTAACCTGTAACAGATACAATCGTTCAGTTAAAAAGCGGTGAAATGTTTCAAAATCAACATTCAATTATCATAACTATAGAACTATATAACGTTGATGCACTCTATTATGATCATTTTTGTCCATCCTTCAAGTCTCAGTTCTCACTCAGTATACACCCTTCCATGAATAATTTTAGACGGCTAGATTTTGAGTTCCCAGCTATAAAATGACGAATAGATATTTACTTAGCATTATTACTACCATAACAATAACTTTAATTTCAAAATTAAAACAACTTTAACAAAACTTAATCTAAAAAATGTCCTAGTGAGCTCTTACTACCCTCAAATCTCAAATAAATCTTAAATATAAATCTTCTGGCCGTAATTTCTTTAAATGTAATGATAAGCAGATCTTGGGTAAAAACATAATGTCTCAGTAAATTCAAGATATTGAACACCAGGACCCCGGCGCTCCTGGTTCGTCTGCAACATCACTCTCCCTTCTTTGTGCCTTAGAATGCACTTCTTCTTCGTCACTAGAAAAGGCTTCTGATAAGCTGTCTACAAATCTGTCTCGCAATGCTTCTAGTTGTACTACTTTAACCTCCCTGGGAGAAACAGTCAGATTAAGATTAAGATTGGGAAGACTGAATACGATGAAAGATAAATGATTGTTGAAAGAACATACATTTTTCGTTTTTAATTAGACTTTTAGTTCTAACGACATCTTAAAAAGTAGTAACAAAGCAAAGTCTCACTCTATCTCGTAATATTCAGCACTCTGATCCCTGATCGGTTGAATAACTCCTAGCTCGAATCCACCACAAAACAACTCGAGAGTTTCATCTGAACTACTTGACGGATCACATGACATGCATGTGATGGGATTGTAAACAGGACATCTCACAGTGAACAGATAGCTGTGATCTTCCAACAACCGAACTGAGGAATAGGAGTTGATCTGAAGTAAAACAAATTTTTTTTTTTTTTTTTTAAGTAAAACAAATTTTATTTTATACCCACAATCAATTCATATTTAGTTCAAATATTTAAAGTCAAAATAACCATTTCACATAAGTGGTTATATTATAATAAAATAATTTGTGATAAATTAATAAATTAATTTACACTCAAAAATGAACAAAATATACACAATTTTTACCTAGTGCAACACTGGTTCAGCGCGCGGCTGATCGAAAAAGTTTGATTTGATTTACTAACTACAGTGTACAGCGTACATGAAAAATTACTTACTGAATCTTTTAATACTAGACAGATTTTAATTCAGATGTTGTTCAATGAGTTAGCCACAAAAATGTTCAAATTATGTAGGAGGGTAAAGGACACAATTGCTAGTAGTGCTTCTTTGTGCCCGTTGACTACAATGAACATTTTGCGGTGTTTCTCCAGACGGCTTTTATCGGAGTGCGTGTTATTTACTTGGTTATGCACAAGCCAGGCCAACATTTTGTTTTTGTGTCAGCCGTGCTATCAGGTTGCAGAGTATTATAAACACTAAACAATTATCTATACTATAATTTAAACTTGACGAAATTTCCCCGGCAACGGGGACATAGAAGAAAAAACACCGAAAATCGACCTCAAAATGACCCTTTGGTGAAATCAAACCCAGCTCGCAAATGGAGTTGAAACCTCGCCATTTTTAGCAGGGTTGTAAAAAAAGGATAGGAATAGGCTATAGCATTCTTAGAATTTTGATTTAGGCTTTAGATTTTTTATAATTAACGTCGGAAGTGAGGTAAAATAACCGTTAGAATAATGTCGTTATTTTAGCAAAGGTTTACTGCGCTGTTGCGTAGCAACGTTAAAATGCACGTGCGCGAGCAATAACATCTTAACTACGCGCGTTGTGATGCTGTATGCTACGTCATAATTTCAAAACTAGCTCACATTTACGCTCACGCTATGACTTATATTCATAACTTTGGTTGTGATTGGTATTTTTTGATGCGGTAAAAAGTATCGTTTTGGGAATCCAAATACTAACAACGCTGTCGCCATTGTTAGATAAATTCCATTATGTCTACAGTATAACAGAGCTATATGACGAAGAGAAATTAAAACATAACTGATTTTTAAAATTTCCTCGAACAAAGCTTTCGACTAGCGGGTTTCTAGTACACTATACAAATTTGCTAATACAATATCATGCAGAGTCCGATCTAGCTGCAAACGTCAGACACCACAGTTCAGCCGCCAAGTACCGTTTAAGTGAACACCGAAACACGAGGTTTAGGTGTCATTTTGTAAATCACTTTATGGATGGATAATTCAGTAATTGTTGAAGAAAATTACAGTCACTGCCACCTATAGCGTTATGTCATGGGTCTGATTAACGGCCAAGAATAAACGTACGTGCGCGCTTAAGAAACCCGCGCTTGAATGTTGAGGTAGGGAGTAGCTGCGGCGCGCTTTTAACATATATTACATATAGCGCCGTACGGAAACGGCAATATATAAGTAATTAAGTATTTGTTTACATAAATTCCACGTTTTTATCAATAATCTAGCATGGTCCAAAACTGTTAAAGTTGTCATTATGACACTCATTATCGAACCTGCTTTGGGCATCTAGAAGAGATCGGTTTAGCCTTGATTTGATTGAGTTACAGGATGTGTTCACAAGAGTGGACAAACTAATCAGGACTGGGTACAATCATCAATGGCTGGGATCAAGGCTTCTGTGCCAAAATTCTTATTATCCACAATCAAATTCACGTTCAATACAAGCACAATATGTCATAATAATCAGATATTTTATTTTGAACTCTGATCTTTGAACTCACAATTTATGGATGATTTGCCAGAATCCAGATTGTAAGAACTTGAAACCAGGTAGCAATTCTTGTAAATCAGCATAGAATCTGTGCTTCCGTGATCTGAAATTAAATCATTTTTAGCAGGGTTTGAGGGTTAGTTAAAGATTCCATTATATGCGATCAGTAAATGAGGGGAGGCACGATGATATTGATGATGATACATTTTACATTATGAACCCAAATGATGCAATGTAAGTACTAATCTACAACAAACCAGTGTCGTGGTTTTTAAGTTTATCCATGTTCTCCGAATTGAAGTGAAATACTTTAATATTTACACCGTCGTCTCCAAAATATAGCTTCTCATTGTGTAAGATCATACATCTTACTGGACGCGTCACAGGAATTGTCATTGGGACTGTTGATACTGATAGAAGATCCTTGGAGATTTTCCACACACCTGGGCACAGAGATTTACTTCATTATCTACTTTTCAGTTTACACAGACAGTAGATACCAAATTAAGACATTTAATAATGATTGATAAGGATTCATTGAACTCTAATCCACACTAAAAACACCAAAACTTACATAAGTCTGGAACAAGTGAAGCTGATACTACTAATTTCTCGTTAAGAGCAAGTGATAATACACTTTCAAGGTGTCCAACAGTTTCCCATTTAACAGCTAATGTTTCTGTGCAGTAATACATGATTTTTCCACCTCCAGTTCCAATCAGAGCCATTTTACCAAATATCACTGCACAACTAATCATAATAATTTGAATAATTTGAATTATAGAATACCTTTAAAGTTGATTCAAGGTTATTAATGTAATATGCTAGATCTCAGTAGATAATGTTATAAGATCAGGCTTGTTAAATTACGTTTTCCTAACACAAAATCCAATAAAGTTTAAAAACAATTGAATAATACTAACGTTATGGGAGAGAAAAGATAGTGAGAATGCTCTAGCTTTCCAGACTTTGTGTCCCACATTCGAAGCTTACAATCATATGAAATTGTGCAGATCTTATCTTCAAGAAGAAACACCCCTGTTACTGTGGAGGTGTGATCCCCCAATGTATGTAGCTTTTTTCCATGTTTATCCCATACCTTACAAGTTGTATCCTTGCTGGCAGACACAAGCGTTTCTTTGTTTGAGGCCAAAGAACAAACTTTGTCGTTATGGCCGTCCAAAAAGCAAAACCTGGATTTGCTCCACTTACTTTTTGTTTCAATAAACTGCAAAGATGCAAATCATTAACAACCAAGTCAGTAATTATAATTTTATATGTCAGACTAAGCTGCTTGCAGAGACAAGGTTTAAATTTTTAAATGACGATAATGATTTGATATGCAATCCAAAACAATTTTTGGAAAAATAGCATCAAATTAAAATGTGAGCACAAACCTTTTGTCTCTCTAATTTCTTTGAAGGCCCCCTCTTTCGTTTTCGTTGTTCTGATGGACCATTTGCATCAGCTTCATTTTCTGTTTTCACTGCATCATTTTCCTTCTGATTCTGTACATCTATGAAATTATGGTGCATCACTGCTTCAATATCACCTTTTGAGAGCTGTTCTGATGGACCATTCACATCAGCTTCATTTTCTGTTTTTACTGCATCATTTCCCTTCTGATTTTGAACTTCTATGAAATCATTGTTTATCTCTGCTTCAATATGATCACCTTCTGAGAGCTGAATTTTGATTGATTTCATTGAAGTCGTATTGACACAAAAAAGACAATACAACATAGTATAACAGATAGTATGATCAACATTATTAGTAAGGATAATCATGTAGAATTAAAGGATCTAATATCAAATTGAAAAAAATTACCTTACCTCTAGGTTAGGCACACTGATTAGAATTGCATTTGTGTTTCCATTTTGTTCACTATTTTGAACTGATGATGGAGTAATTTGAAGATCATTATGAGAAGTTATCTGTCCACTTTCTGATGTAAATTCTGTCATAGAAACATCAAAGTCCTCTGCAAGCTTAACAAAATTTTGAAGTGATTCTCGACAATTCTTTTTACTCTTAACCTGAGATTTAAAGACTGAAATAAGAATCTCATTATACTCCAATATGCGGGCAGTTAATTGAACATGTAATGTTTACAATGGCTCTTGTGCTGTGTATGATAATTGATATATCAGTTAGAATCTTGGTACTCACTTTTTCAATCTCCTCGGATGTCAAAGGACGAGTTAGCTTCTCCAGGGACTCAATCTGTCGTAATCTTTTCCTGAGTTTTCTTAGTGCTACCTTAATATCTTCCTGATCAGATCCCTGCAGCTCAGGCATTGTAGAACTTATCTTTTTTAACAAACCATCGTATCTAGTTATTCCATTAAGACGTTACCTAGCATAATAAAAGGTAGATATTAAATCCCATATCGTCAATATAATTGACACCCCAATGTAAAGGAAACTGATGCCTGGTCATATAAGTACTTCAGTTTTCGCCACACTAACCACACTTGCAGTAGCATTTTGTACATAACAGTGGCTGTCTAAGGTAACAATATTAACAAATGACTTAAGGGGAAATTGGACAAACAGTTTGATAAACTCAAGATATTTCTATACCAATTCAAAAAGGTCCAAGAAAACAACAATTTTAACAAAACAAAAATTTTATTTAATATCAGTAAAAGCAAGCAAAGCAATATTTTTGATGTCTTGAGGGACTTGAATTGGAGTAGCTAAGAAGTGGTAAGAATAGTCCAGCATGATACAGGAGAGTGCAGGTTGTGAGTATGACACACCCACCATCTCCTCCTGAATTCTGGATCGGATAAATATTTTTTACAAACTGATCGTTTATACTCCAAGTCCCTGCTCTGCTAATTATAACACTTGCATCGATTGTGCTCTGCCAATTGCATCACTTGATTTAATTGAATGTATACATTGTTTGAACGATTGAATCTTTTACGTATAACTATAGTGACAAAAAGTCCCTTCGTTAATCTTTTTGGTTTGAAACAAGACTGCTATCAAAATCAAGAGACAAATTTATTTAACGCCATTTTCTGGTCTGACTGCATCATTCAGGTGTTTGCAAATCACACAATAAATATTGTAAGACTATTTAATTTTGTTGTCACATACTCTTTCGCTAGTGTCAGCTTTAGTAGCTCCTTTATCGTTTTATGTATTTTCACCATATACCGAAAACACAGGCGCCAAATTGCGCGCATTGCAGTACAGAGTAACATCTTTCAAACTTCATAAATCGAAATTACATTTTCGCAATGTATTGCAGAGAAAAGACAATTTTTCGAGAAAATACAATTTTATTATTTATCACCGATTCATTACACAATCAATTCATAAATATAAATCCGAATAAAGAATACCAAAATAATTTTTTGCGCTAGATGATGTATAACATCCAACATACAATTTAATTATAAATATACTTGATCTGACAGCAAAGTAAATAATATAAGTATGCTAGCAACTATTGACCATTGTTAATGCATGATCTGGCCCGGCGCTACTTCGTAGCACGTGCCTTCGTATGTCGTAGCACGTGGCCATCGGGCCATAACGTTTCGAGAAGAAAGCGGCGCGCGCTACTTCGAAGAAATTTAGACGAGTAAAATCCGTCAATATGCAATAGCAACTAGCGCGCTGGTACGTATTTAATAAAAAATACACGCTGTTAAAGTGGGTCTGACCACAGAATAAATATTAAATGTATGCACTTATATATTATACAAATTTGAAATTATTTAAAATACTTTTGAAATAGAATAAAAATATGATTCCAGCTCTACCCAATCCTTAAATGAAGCATATGCCTAACCTTATATAAAACAAACTTCCTTATATGATCGTATATCACTTAATTGATGATGTTAATTCTTAGCAGCTCGGCGTGGCACTAGCCCAGTGGTGCATCTTGCCGATCTAACGAAGGTTGCGAAAAGCATTTTTAGATGCGCGGCGCAGCCCAGTAGTGCATCGCGAGCGCTACACTCACATCACTGATCACGTGATCAAAACAGTATTTTGCCAGGAGAGAATTTTAACCTTGACGGATGATACTCAGTTAAATTTCTTCGAAGTATCGCCCGCCGCTTTTTTCTCGAAATATAACGCGCGCCGGGTTAGTCCCTCAACAATGGAAAAATTGTAACCCTGTTATATGCGGTGAGTGGTGCGTCAGTTCAGAATCAGCGTTCAAAATGCATTGGTTTAAGTTACAACTGTCGGCCGGGTGCGGGCCTTTTATTTTTTAAATCTCAAAGTTTGAGGTAAAATAATTTGGCGCGCGCTATATCTCCACCGAAAACACATTCAATTTGATGCGTATGAAATATGTTTATAACTTACTTTATATCTTCTGTAGATCGGCGAGATGCGAAGGATTGACATCGTGAATCAAGACCGAGCTGCAAAGGACATCGTAAATCGTTCCAGTTGGTAGGTTATTATTTATTAACCTGCAAGTACATGAGTCATATCCAAAATCTGCATGATGCAAATTACTATTGGTGATCAGATTTCGCCCACGCCCTTGAAAGACGCGCGCCGAGTTGGACTGAGTCTCGTCGACGATCTAATATTTGGAACAAATATTTTACGAGTATCACCCGTTAAGAGAATCACCCGTTAAATTAAGTTGCGTTAATCTGAATCATTAACTACATGTATAACCAAAGCAGGCTTAACATTTTATGCCAACGGATACTCACAAACACAATTGACAATGCAGTTGCAGTTCCTCCATGACTAAATTAAAATTTTGACTTCAATTTAAAACGTTTTTGGTATTTTACTTAGTCAATAATGAATAAAATCAGTTGATTAGTTATGTATGTAGAAGTTATATGTCAGGTAATATCTTCACCGAAAGCACACTCCCCAAATTGCGCGCACTGCTTGCTGTAACTTCTTTGAAACTTCATGAATCGAGAAAAAATCTTTTGCCTCGATCTTAAACGATTCCCCATTCAATTTTGTTTTGGTCGTAAAACGCCAACTTAGTGCAGAATCAAGCAAGTTATAGACATATCTCATACGTATCAAATTGGATGTGCTTTTGGTGGAGATATAACCTGCGCCTTATTGTTAACTACTCCAGATTTGTGTATAGTATGATAATAATAGTAATACTAATACAATAACATCAGTGATTGAAATTTTATAGGGACTGGTACGTAATGGTATTGCATTTGGAGCCTGTCAATATTATTTCAAGCCTTGGATTAGTGTTGTGTGAGTGTGAAGGTTTCGACACTGCATTGTATATAAATAAGTATGACCTTAGCTTTGCTAAATCAGCTTGTTTTCTTTGGCCCAAAAACACAAAGCGAAATTATAAATTTTAAACAGGAGTCAGTCCTTTAACCGCTTATTATGCAAATTTGTGACAAGTTAAACAAATATTTATCATTACATTATTATAAAAATGAATTAACTGGTTGAAAGGAGATTTTACTCTAAATTCAAATTTTAAGTCGAAATTTTCTTCTTTGATACTTTGGCCTTCTAAATTGGAGTAAGCGCATTATATTACGGTATTTTAAGTCAATAAAAATCTCGACTTAAATTGTACATTAAAAACAAATATAAACCATATTAAACGCTAATAATTAATGATAAACTTGCCTACATATATACTTCATCAAATAAGCGAGTTTTACATTAATTGCGAATTTCTGAAAAATCTCAAAATATACCCAACACTGATAATCATAAAGCGATAATTGAAAATTTTCATGAGGGTATTTGCTATCGATTAACGTGCAGAATTAAAGCAATTCATTGATTGCTTTGACATGGGTAATAAAACATTGCAAAAATAAGACAATAGAAATGCTCAGCACAGGAAGGGAATAGAAAATTGGTTTGTTTCTGAAAAAGAGCCTAAAATACATTTCTGTTGCCTCCCCTCTGATATCTCTTGTCGACAAAGCTAATTTGAAATACTTCGCTTGGGACACTGTTTAAAAACGAAAATCGCTTATTTTTCGAAAGATGCAAATAGAATTAGTTACCTAGGTTAATCTGTAAAACAGTGTCCCGAGCAAGAGTGCGGGATCTAGCCATTGAACATGAACTAGTTGGATTCAATGCTAAAACACATTTTGAATGATCACACGGGGCACCACAAATTTACGAACTAATTGTTTCTGCCGTCATTGACTAAAAATAGCACAAAAATTTGATGTACGAATGCTTATAGTGTAAAAAATGGGCATCCAAAAGTAGAACCCTGAAAGCTTCGCTAACAATCCAAATTATTCAGTATAACACGGTAGCTATATATAATAAATTAGATATGGCAATAAAAACGTTATCAGTTCAGCAATTTTGAAAACCGTAACCCACGAAACCTCTTCAACAGCAGGGTCGTTCTCGATCACAATTTCAAAATTCTTGGCAAATAATTATTTTCGTAAACACAATTTTATTCAAACAGTTTTCTTTCAAAAGATATTTCATAAAACAAATTGGACTATTTACACTAAGGAGTTTCTAAGACTCGCGCGCGCACGTCACGTCGTGCCGCTTGGTATTAAGTACAACTGTAAGTATGATATAACTGTCGCAAACTTTTTGCTCAGTTCGTCACAATTGGTTCTCTGAAGAGCTTCGTCTATCTGAAAACGGAAGATTCGTTAGAATTGAGCAATAAACCCATACGAAACCTGAGGCTTATATGGAAATTGTAAGACTCGCAATGACAGATCCACGCTATAATATGAGGGATGAACATTGAACATGTACATACCTGGAAGCAATAATTATGAGCGTAGACTGCGAGGTCGTAGAGAGCTGCGTCTCTGTGGAGCTGCATAGAATCTGTGGAGGGGAGGGAACTGAAGAGCTTCTCGTCTGTGACCGGTGGAAGAGCCTGAAACACAGTTATCGTTACATTTGGAAACAGCAAACAGCTACAATTAGTGAAGTGTCAGTCAAGGTATTTTAATATTCTCAAAACGTCGCTGTAGTCATTATATTCTGACTGGTTAGTTCGAGACTAGCGGAGACTAATTAGCAGGTGATGGACTGTGTGGAGTGTGGAGTGCGGAGTGTGGAGTGTGGAGTGTGTAGTGTGGAGTGTATAGTGTGCATGTGGAGTGTAGAGTGTAGAGTGTGGAGTGTGGAGTGTGGAGTGTGGAGTGTGTGGGTACCCTACCTGAATATCGCTGTAGAACTTTCTGACTGCTGGTTTATAGTCCTGCAACTCTTTAGCGTACAAAAGTTTACTAGAGGGACTGTCTGTGCTGAATGCGTGGTTACTGAGCGAACAGGAGTCCATGTAAGTTTGGGAGATAACTGATAGGATTGAGTCTATAAGGGGGTGTTTCTCTACGTCTAGGATCATTTCGGGGTTCTTGATGATGTTTATCCAGAAACGCAGTGGAATACTGAGACAGTGGGTTAGTTAGAGAGGTAATCTGAGTTCAGGAAAAGGTATAATTTAGAAGTTAAAATAAAATTTAAAGAATTTTTGGAAAAATGTACGCTGAATTTCAATCAAAGCAAGTTGTATGTGATCTGGACTTAGCTATTCATATCATTAACAAGTGTTTTACATACCTGTTGTTTTTCCAGGTATGGATAATATCAGGATCAGTAATTCCGTTCTCAGCCGCTTGCCTGTCCAGCATATCGAACAAGAATTTAATCGCAAGAGGCACGTCTCCATTAGATAATGAGAATATTGAGACGAACAGATCGTTAACAAAATGCTGCAGAGTTCCTTTAGTCGTTAACAGCCGAGTTAGATATATCTCCGGCACGTGGACCAAGGTGGTTTGGTCGGAGTCGATAGTGCTGCTTGCGTTCGTTTTAGTCTGCGGTGTGAAAATGCATAACTGGAGAGCATTTAAACGAAGTTTTATACTCGCGACGAGTCCAGAAAGTTGATTTTATTTCGGAATGCAAAATCAAAGCACATTTTATTACTACTCACAAGATGGTATGGTCTGAGTCCGCAGCTGCTTCCTGATCCCCTCCTGTTTAGTTTAGGGTTGCTCGAGGCTAGATCCATGGAGCGGTTTAGTTTTGGATTACTGCTAAAGTGGGTGGAATGGTCCATGAAGTGACCGAACCTGTTCGTCGCAGTGGAGTCCGCAACAAACGCAAACACCGCGTTTTCTGCCACCTGTCGGGATTTCTTAATGAGTTTCCTGAGATTATATGACAGAATTTCTAACGGTAGAATTTAAGAATTATGAAAAACATGCACTCCTCTGACAACCTTAAAGGTTTAAAAATGTTCGGTATTAATTTAAATGCCGCGTGAAAGAGATATAGGTGTTCACGCTGATATGTTTATCACAGCGAATATTCATGACAATGTAGCCCAGCTGACCTTATAATGCCGGAGTGTGTTCAGCCTCTTCCACTCGCCCTCTACCACGCTAGTCTCATCCTCATCACGCAGCACATTATACTGGTGCTGTCCAACTAGTCTCAGCTCCAGACTATCCACCGGTACTCGCTGTGAAACTGGAGTATTCTTGTAGTTGTACCAGGTGTCGTGAAGCTTACATTTAGCTTGGGAGATAGTGTCGCAGTCAAGGAGCTTAACCGGCATCTGACCTCCTTCTACTTGTAGGAAAACGTTCAGAGTCTGGGAGAGAGGGTGTGTTAGAATATGATATCATAAATAGTCGTGACATCATCACGACAGCATGTAACGCACAGTCATATTAATCATGCAGAGAAAAATTAAGAACTTTAACATTTGTGAAATTCGATCAGAAGTTGTCAGCTCAGCGCTTAATGGCGTGAAAGATTGAAAACATAGACAGTAGAGCAAGCAATTGTTGGTTGGATATTAACCTTAAAATCGATTTTCTGTCGCAGTAGCCTGTCCTCGGATAAGGCATATCGGGCCTGGTAGCTCACGGAGTCAACAGGTCCTGTCTCAATCGTAGCCTTGATGGCTCTGTACAGCATGTACAATGGTTTCCCGGCCACCTGTTTTACGTGATCATACAGACAGAAAGTCAGCCAATTTGTCAAGAATTTCTCCGCTACACTCTCCGTTCTCCGCAAGAAGAGATGAGGAGAAGTTTTGATTTGAGGTCGCTTCATGAGGTTAAACAGCAGTCTGGACATGATGTAAGTGGCGTAGTCCAGACGCTCGCAGAGAGCTACCATTAGGAGGGAGGCGACATTGCACCTGTCCTTCATGTTGAATCTGGGCTGCTGTTCTAGGGTGTGGATAAAGTTCAGGATGAAGGGCTCTGAGCAAAGTAGGGTGTGGAAATCTTTCAGTCCGGCGATCACCGCCGCCCTGTTATTAGGAGCTGCTGCGTGGAATCTACTGGTAGATCTCTGGAAATCCTCTATATTTGGGAATAGAACTTTGTAGGCATAAGTTGAGAAATCCAGGAAGGGTAAAGATGTCAAATCACTTATCGGTGAGATATCGTTCATGACCATCATTTGCAGTTCGGTGAAAGCTGAGGTGAAATAAATGTTAAAATTAGGTGCACGCCGACAGTCATCAATCATCAGTTTCAATCCTGTAATTCTCCTAATTTTGCGTATGACAAAATCGATATGTCCATGACAAAACGATGTCTCTGAGACTGTCTTGAGGAACGCACGATAAATCAAGCAAGGGCCGGTCCACAATAAAAGTGGCGTCATACATAAATAATGAAGGAAGATACTTGTCAAAATTAACGACTGAACTAGCAGAGAATTTACTGACCGTCTTTGCACTCCCGTGCGACTTGAGACTCCAAATCATGCATTTTCTTCTTCGTCACTTCCGACTGTTCGGTGAGCCGTTGGGAGTTCTCTCGATATTTGAAGATGAGGAGGGTAACAACAATAGCCATGACGATTATAGCAAACACTGTTCCCAGTACAACTGGTAGTGGTATGTCACTGCTTCCCTGCGAATAGCGATGGTTAATTTAATGACTAGTACATTGATAAGCAAACATTATACAATTATACAGACATAGTACATAAAGCTATGTATGATTTAACTTTAATCTTGAATCTTCAAACTACTGATAGATCACAGTAGAAAAGTAATAATAGTTATCACAATGTACCACTACCTGACTCTCGATGGCTGCAGATGTGATCCTATAATTCAGAGAACCAGGACTCTCTTCTCTATTTCCCATCACCACTTTCACTTTGAACAGGGTCTCTTTGGGTGGATCTTTCTTGTTCTTTGCGATAAGAGTGTCTCTCTTTTTCCTATCAGTGTTGTTATCCTCAACCTTGTAATTGTTCTTGTTTTGCTGGGTGTGTTGTTGTAGAACTGTAAGACTGGGGGGTGAGCACAACACCTCACTGTCGGTAGAGGACGGTGTCATCTCGCACTCCAGTCCTCCAACTGTTACTTTTACTGCTACCTTTCCTTCCAATGTCAGGTGTTTTCCCTGAAAATAGTGAGATTAGTGGCATGTATAACCAGGTAGTCGCTTAAACTTGAACGTGTGCCAAATAATGAACAATTTCGTCATTAAAAATTAGCGTGTTTAATTAAATTTTAGAGTTCCAGAATCGGGTTACTTTTAGTTTTGGTTTTGGTTTACTTACAACAATTCTAAGATAAGCCGAGCTATCGTTAGACACTTCACTTCCAGCCCAGGTCCAGTCTGTAGTTTCATTGACCCATTTATCGACCGTAAAGTCAGGATAATAGCTGAGACTTGCGGGACCCGAGTCCTCGATCTGTGCGGGATTCAGGTTTCTCAGCTCGATATTCTCGTCCAGTTTAAACACAATTGGGATGGGCATGGCCTGGTCACTTCCGGCTTTCAGTTGGAGACTTGGGGTGGGACACACCATGGAGTTACCATCATTGTAAATAATCTTACACATTCCAGCAACAGAGCTGGCAACAATGTCTGTGTTCTCCATATCAACGTCAATCTTAGCCACTTGAATGGAATGTAGGTTAGTACCAGACACCGTCACCTTGATGCCCCCGGCTGCCAGACTGCAGGTAGGTGTAATATTGGTGATGATAGGATCTGCTACGTACTGATACAAGATATTATCCGCAATGATTTCCTCCTTATCCACCACCAGCTGAACCTTGACTTTCTTAGGCCCCCCTGCTCGGGTAGTCCGACACACGATCTCATTTTCCCGTCTCTTTCCAATTATTACACACTGCTCCGTGCCAATCTCCACCCTTGCACTGGACCCTATGTCAAGGTGATTACCCATAATGGTCAGAGCACTGCCTCCTGATTTAGGGCCTATCTTCGGGGAAATACTTGTAATCTCCGGATTCTGAAATGAAATCAGTGTCATGTTTGTGCCTGGTCCACGCCTATTTTCAACTTATTAAACACTTATTATCAACAAAGTATGATGTCATCAAGTATGTAAGACACACTTTAACAAGACCATGACGTCATCAAATGAACAGCAGATAAAGTCAGGAACTTACCAGATACTTGAATTGAACAGCGCTCATCTGAGTCTGTCCTCTGACTGTGATCCTGATGGGACCATTGGAGGGTTTCGGGGACCAACCAGTCTCGCAAACCACTGTTGTGGAGACTTGGTATTGTTCTCCGTACAGCATGTGGTTACAAACTGTGTCTGCCACATAGATACTCTCGATATCTTGGAATTCTACACCCAGGTTCACTCCTGATAATAGAAATATGTTGGAGGGAGGTATTCATAGAGATTATATTAGAGATATTAATAGAAATAATTATAGAGATAATTATAGAGACATTTCTTTTTAAGATGTGATTATTGAATACATTCATCGCTATAATTGATGACACTAGGAGATGAATATAGAGGTGGGCACTGATTAATATTTGGGAAGCGACGCAAGTTTATTTCGTCATCATGAGACACGTACACCCATTAATAAATCAGTTCACATAATCGACCAATAGAATTGCTGGAATGTGTCAAAACAAAGTTACGTCACCCTCCCAAATTATCCACGTCCATTACCAGAGATAAGATTATATCATCACAAATTAGATTGAGACATTGTATATAAATCACTTGAGAAATTCCTCCCGCCCAAAGATCCCAAAATCAAATCTAAACGAAACTTATTGAGTTAATAATCATTAACATCATAAACCAGAATAAATAAACAAAAGCTAAAGTAACTAACCAGTGATAGTAACTTTAGTACCGCCACTAACAGGTCCAGCTACAGGCTCTATCTTATTAACTGTGGGGGCTGGACAGGTCTTATCATCATCATCCAGTCTGTTGGCACAGTGGGCCGTGAACAGAGAACACTGATTGGTAGCCGAGCACCAGGAACACTTGTAGTCGGCACTTATCTGACCCTGGCATTGGGAACAGTCGCTAGCCATCAGCAGGCAGTTGTACACCTCAACTGAAATATGTGGAGTTGAGTGGTTGTGTGGTTGTGGTCACTGGTCAGGTTGGGTGGTTGTGGTCAGGTTGGGGCCCGGGTTGCCGTGTTAGATTCTCCCACGATGGTTGGGAGTAAATATGGGGTGATGGAAATTAGACCAATTACCTAATCAGAGTGGAGATAAGGAGGGCTTTTTACTATATAAATATTTATGAATATAAATATTTGAAGATTACTCACCCTCCAGATCGTCAGGTTTGTCAATCTCCACTCCTCCGAATATAATAGAAACTTCAGCGTGCACTATCCCTTTAGTACTACTATAAGTGTACTGAAAGAGAGAGGGGATGTTAATTTCTCAGGTGATCACACTGTTACCTGGTTTGAGGTGCAGAATTACACTACAGGACCGCGTGCTGTGGTTACCCCACCCCTCTCTCCCCTGATATGTAATCATATTAACTCCCCCCTGCTGCAGACTAGAACCTACACACCGTCCTACACCAGTCAGCTCCCGCTAATTTGAAATCAGGCATTTAATTTGAGAGGTATCATGTAAGAAACACTGATCCGTGTTGATCAACGGTAGCCGTTCTGGCACCACCGCATTAGGACATGTGTAAAATTAAATCATTGGCATGTACAAGCATTCCATGAATATCTGCGTGATAATTACCTTAATATAGCTATTTCTTCACTACGGTACGAGGATGGAAAGAGAGGAGAAATCCCTGCTCATCAGCACGGTACGAGAACGGAAAGAAAAGAGAAATCTCATCTCTTTCATCACTTTAAAAACTTAAAATAGCTGTAGCAAGGCTGGTTCATGTGTTCATTATTCATTGTCACGGCGACATGTTGGCGACGATACGTGTTATTACAGACCCCTCAACCCTTATATTTAATGGAGTGGAAGCAAACACAGGGACGTAACTTGCGGTACATTTCAGTCAGAAACAAAGGATTTTCTTGGACATTTTAACATTTACATAATACGATAAAAAGGTGGTAAATGAATGATTTAACGCTATTTTAACGTACGGTGTTGGGATTACATTCGAGACTGTTCGAGTCAGTAAGGTGACCTCCAGTCGTTTGTTTATTTCCATCAATATAGATATCACAACTATAGCCAATGTCATTGCGTCCCACACTCTCGGGCAGATGTCGTCCATGGACGCGAAACGACCTCCTGAAAAGGAACAGATGTTAGTTTGTGATGATGCTGGATGTTTGTATTATTTCAGTTTGGCGAGCAATCATTAGAGAAGTGGAGCAAGTGAGCAAGAGAATTTAGCACGTTGCGGTCTACGCTCACGGGGGAGTGTGATGTTTACATAAGATGGAGTCCACCAGAGTCGAGAACACCTAGAGCATGTCTAGGTGGTTTACTTAAACATTGTGGAATGTATGGTATGTATAGCAAAAGCATCAGGGAATTACATGGAAATTTTCAATAGTGGAAATTTTGTTTCTGTGAAAAGCTAAAAGTATTTGAAGACTCACTGAACACCAGCAGGGATGAGTTTGTCCTCGTATTCCACGTACTCCAAGGTAGGACAGACATTAACACTGGTCACGTGGGTTCCCTTCATGCACATCTCACTCTGGTAGATACAACCACCATCGTACGGGCACCATTTACAACCACTGTCTGGCACTCCTATCGCACTGCACTCTTTACAGGTGGTGATTATCTTACAGTCGAATATCATGATTAGGTCTGGAGCGTGAACAAACGGTTCTATGTTGGAGCTAGCTTTGAGGGATAGCTGGACTGGCATGTTATCTGAGGAGATTAAGGGTTGAAGAGGAGTGAAATAGAAGTGGGAAAGTGAAACAAAAGTTGGTAATATCACAGATGATTATATTTAAAGGAGTCAAGATTCAAACGTTATCAAAATTAGAAAAATAAAACGGGGGGCTGACTCACGATCCATGTTGTTCTGGACAATAGGAGTGTTGCAAGTAACAACAGCAGTGCCATCCTCATTCTGGCGCACACTGGCGGGAGTGTTACCGTACTTCTCAAACACGCACTCGTACACCTCGTCCTGAGGCAGCTGAGCCTGGACGTTCAGAGTCACCTCTTCCTGCTGGTTAGCGGGAGCAGAAGTGGGGCTGACACTCGTTATTGTGATACATTGGTCGGGGGCTCCTCGCTTCCAGTGGATATCCTGACTAGAGTTATCACATTCGTCCTGGAAAATAGAAACATTTGGTGGCACCAAGTTCTAGAACATTTTACGGTTCTCCTCTTTAATTTCAATTACAGTTATAGGAGACAGGGATCCTAACATATGTCCAGAGAGTAGTAATAATAACAGAGATGTACTCAGAAGAGGGTGGTGGAATGCTGGTGGAATGTGGTACGTGACTAACCTGAGTACTACAGCGGTTCTTGAGGACACACCATCCACAGTAGGGGTTGTTAGACGAGATACAGGAGGAACAGTTATCATAGGTCTCACATTCCGCTACTGGAACCTTCACCAGCTGGTCGGTGGCCATGGCGTACACAAAGTCGTGTCCTTTACTGAGAGCAAGCTGTTCAACCGGGGTTGTGCGGATCTGGGCGTTTGAGAACATGGAAACGTCCTTATCACTTTCTAGTAATATCTGAAATAGTTAACAAGTGGTTACTACTTGGAGCAGAGAGAGATAATGGTTGTCTCCAGTTACATTCTACTGCATAATCCGTGCATGGAAGGGACCCACTTGAAGAAACCAAAACCAAAACGGACCTCTCTGGTTAGTGGTTACACGTCATGACAGAAGGTCGGACCGAGCAAGCTGGACCATCACTGTGGGCAGACACTTCGCACGGCTAATCCTGGGACATGATCTAACGCATAGTATTTAGCACACTTTTTATTCACGATCCTCTCTAGAATAGTGTTCATGTGGCCACTTGTTCCGCAGATCCAACATGTTTAATTGACCGAATCTGTTCGGTTTCATCCAATAAACTTATTGGAAATATTGGAAAAAAGCGTGCATAGCTACTTTTGCCCATACATAACATATTATATGCCTAATAAATGAGTTCTGTACAGCATTATGCTGTGTAATTAATACACCTTGCTAGCCATTGAAGCGCTGCTTGACAAAATTCATTAGAAGCTGAAGCTAGGACCTACCCCTTGCTGAGTGATCACATGAGCCTTGTGCCAAATGGTCACGTGACACGACTCAGCCAAAAGGTCACATGAGATGATCTACAAATGGTTATCATCGGCCATTTTATCCGGTTATCATAAAAAATATCAGGTCATCCTAAAACCTGATACTCTTAAAGTGCACTGTTTAAAGAGTGAGGGGGGAAGTGGTTCATCACCTTCCCCAGAAAAGATACCCGGCTCTCTTTATCATTCGCAATTTCATGAGACCCACCAAATTACATTATGCGGGGTAGCCCGAGGGAGGAGGGAACCAGACGTCATGGCAACCGGGACACTGGGACAGCACCCTGACATTAACTAACACACACCACTCTGACATTAACTCTGACATTAACATACTTGACCGTACCCAAACTTTACACGTAATATTCCCATGATGTTAGCAGACAATTAGTGCAATGTTTACAAACATCGGCCCGGAAAACAACCAAACTGTTTTAAATATGCGAAGAAAATTAAGGTAGACAGATGTCTGCGGTTGAAAATAAAACCAGACAGAGAATACCTGAAATGTTAATAACCAAAAAGCAAAATATCACAATTGTTGAAAGAAATAGCATTGAACGAAGTGGAGGCTTACCTTGAGTAGCTTCCCGTTCTTAGTCCCGATAAACGCTACAGAGTATTCCTCGTGAGAGTTAACAGCGAGTGAGAGCATCGTGTCCTCTTGGAGAATAAAAGCAGCAGTTTTGGTGATAGGATTATCCAGCTCAAGAGGAGAGTTTGACAGAACGTTGCATTGATTGAAAGCCTTGGTTTGAGCATTGCACTTCGGTCGGTTGTTCTGACCGTCGAATGACAGACCTGAAAAACCTTTTCCATTCCAACAATCCCGCGTCTTGTTCTCGAAAGCAAGCTCGATTTCCTTGATGGTATAAATACAAATCGCACTGTCGCCGGTCGGTTCATGTTTACCTTCCTGAGCCTGGGCAAACAAAGCAATTACAATATCACTCTGACTGATAATCTTAAGCTTAGTCGCCAGCTCGGAACCAGCTTTACCGATAGCCAGAGCTTGGAGCAGCTGGAAGTTGGTACCATCCTTCTTGCACTCCATCTGGGCCTCGGTGTAGCTGATCAACTTCCGGTTTCGGAAGTCCCCCTCGTCCGACTGGCAAATCCGTGTCAGCCGTGATTTATACACTCCGGAGCCCGGAGTGGTCGGTTTTATAGTGGAGAAGTACCGATACGAACCACTCGCAAAACCACCGTTGTATATCACGTGAGCATTCCGAGACCTAGACCGATATAGTGTCCGTTTGTTTTCCGATTCGGAGTTCTTGTACAACTTGAACATTTGCTCTGAATTGGTTTTATCGACCTTCCTGATGGCAATAGAGGGCAGGATTACAAGCGCAGAGTCCGGTTCAGCGAAGGAAGCTCCAACATACAGCACATTAGTGCCACTGGGGCCGGCTGCAATAAAACCGTAAGAAGCATTGTCGCCCTTGTTAGCGATAACCCAATGTCCCTGGGACGTGGGCCAACTGATCAACTCCTCGATATTCTGAAGATTTCTCATCTGACACGAGCCCTGATACACATTACCGCACACTATCAGTGCTGACTGATGTTGGTCTATGACCAGGATTTTGACAATATTGTTAGTCTGACTAAGTTCGGCTGACGGGTTCAAACAGTGCCCCGCGTTCAGTTTAGCCGTAGCTGGGATGCACTCCTCGTTGTCCATCTTAGGGCCTAACGAAACGTCGTGCATGAGGTCGAGGTTAGGGTTAAGCTGGCAGAGGAGGTTATCAGCTCCGAGGTAAACGTTGCCACTAACATCATCAACTACTATCTGACGGAGCATGGTGGCAGTCTGGGGCGAGAAGGTGTCGTAACAAGACATCAGAGACACGCACCATAGCAACAGAACGGCTCGCAGGTTCGTCTCATCCATCTTGCCTGGAAGAAAAGGGACCGTTAGAGGGGTGGATAGACAAAGAAAGGGTTTTGATTGGGTTGAGTGTTAGTTGCTACGTATAGAAGAGAAAAGGTAATTGTGGAAGGTGAACAGTATGTTCACTAAAAAATCAACTACAGTTCAACAGGGGTGCAAAACGTTCGAAATTAACGTTTTCAGAAACAGCTTTAATACACCATCAGTATAAAATACTTATTTTTAGAATCATACTAGTCGCTGTTGCGTAAACATGGAACACCCTCCCGACCATTAATGACGTCTATCACAGTGCTGGCAAGCACGAGCGGTGTCTTTATTGGGGGAATACTATGTACCCCCTTTACTATTGTACCCCCTTTACTATTATAACTCCTTTACACCCCCTTTGGTACACGTTGGAAGGGCATGAGTTTTTCAGGCATTAAGACTCATCGGAAGTCGTTCAGCAGATTTATTTTTTAGTTCAAAACATTCTAATTTGATGTCAAAGATGACAGAAATAAGAAATAGTTATGTTGAGATTTTGAAGAAATTTGCATAAAATTCGCGCCAGCACTGTTATACGAAATTCGGTAAAAAACCCGAAATCGCCATATTCAGGTGCCTTAAAAACCATGTTAAAATTGAGTTAGAGATCTGAAATTTTTCAGGGCGTCTAGACGTTGACCAAATCGACTGCAAAAAAAGTTTCAAGTTTCAGGAGCATCGGGAAATGGGTTTTCTAGAACCCCTGTTTTACGACAGATTGTCGTGATATATACATACATATATATATACATTCAGGGATAGACGCTTTGCCAGTCAATTATAGGCTATATTTAGGTGTCCGTAGATTCAGAAGCTTTAAAGATACAGCCATTTCGGACCACAGGTCTTGAAGATAATTGTTTAGACTTTAGTTTACATTATGTTAAAAAGTAATTCAACGTCATCATCACCACTTGATGACGTCATCAAGTTAACCATTTTTAAAACTTGATTTTTCACAAAGTAATCATTTTTAAAATCAATTTTACGCCATTAAGGAGTAATTTTATTCAAAATTTGAGTGCATATTGAAGTTAGATAATTGTTTAAGCATTCTGAAAATCTACCGGAAAGTTTTTCTAGCTTGCTCCTTCATAAAGATATTCGCTATTGAAGTTAGTGCTTTTTTAAAGAATAATTTTATAAAAACGCTAATTTTACGTTCTAGTATTCTCTGGTGTTGCACCATCCCTTGGGTTGTGGAGCTCAATTTTGCTTCCTAAAGGTCTCAATTGTGTCATAGGCTAGTTTTAAAGTTGAAAATCGAAAAGTTGCACACGTGGGGCAACGCCCAAATTGATAGAAAATTGCTAAAATCACTGAATATTGCTGTTTTCACCAATTTCCGTCAACTTTGGAGCGCCGTTGTGATTACAGTTCTTCTTGAAATACTTTGAAACTTTTCATGCTTATCAAACTATATATAAAACACCATCATGCAAAAATTTACGGTGATTCAATATTGGATGCGCACGCAACTTCCGCTCAAGGTTTGCACGTGCGAAAGGTTAAAATTTTGCTCATTCGTGATTTTGAACAAATTCTGCTTTGCCACGACAGTTCAATGTCATTATATATGAATTTAATGCCAACTTGAATGAGTATAAAGTGGCATATTCAGTCAGTGATCGACCGATATGCTTACCTAAACACAAGGAAATGTTTTTAAAGGAAAAATTTCGAAATCGTTGAAATCACCTCCTTATTAATATTAATGAAGTTATGAGTTTACATTTCGGCTTTGTAAAGTACCCTGACATTATAATCAAAAAGAGATGATATTTGACCAAAACCCATAATCATGGGTAGAGTGGAGCGCTGCCAGTGTCTCTCTTTCCCAAACAAAAGGCAATGATATCAATTTGAATGACCGTTATCAAATGCAAAATTATACCGAGAATGAAATCGGTCGCTCGCTTTTCCCATTCATTTACAATTGAAATAGATTACATGTTATAAATCAAAACTTATTACAATTCGTAAGCCATGAATGAGTGGGAAAAGCGAGCGACCGATTTCATTCTCGGTATAATTTTGCATTTGATAACGGTCATTCAAATTGATATCATTGCCTTTTGTTTGGGAAAGAGAGACACTGGCAGCGCTCCACTCTACCCATGATTATGGGTTTTGGTCAAATTGACTTAAGTTAAAAAGAGTTTGTCTATTCTTATCAATGTAATGAGAAGGATACTAAAATTTCTAGATTTGTGAGGTAACATTAAGCATGTTTAATTTCTAGATGATCTAATCGACCTCGCACTGACCGGAACTAGAAATGTTAAACGAGAGACAAAAATGACTGATGACGTACCCATAACAAACACACAAACACACGAAATAACAAACTGTAAACAACCGAAAACTGAACCCACACAACAACCCGACCCAGAATATAGGTGTGACAAAAATATAAAAATATATAACGAAAAAAAATCAGTGCGGCTCTCCCTTCGAGTGTGCGCCACCCTTATCTCCAACTCATATGTGATTTAATACTTTGCCAGTAATACCCTAAAATACGTGTAACCCTCGGTAATTCGATAAAGGGTACGGATATAAGGAAACAGTGGTACGTAATCGAAGGAGCGTTTATCGTAGTACCATGGTCACTGACAACTGTCTAGTTATCTTCATATGACCATTACTAATTACAGAAGATACCAATTTTTTACCAGCTAATTTCTCCTGACGAAAGCAGCAGAAGACTGACAACTACAACCGTTAAATTTGTGTTAAGTTTTGAAAGTAGCGGAAAAAGAAGCTGCCTTCTTCCCAGATAACCACGGTCCATGAAGCGTCACAACATAATAACCACGGGACAGTGTAGAAATGAAAGCAACAAAAACACGGTGAAATGCACGGTTTATACTGAATATATATATATTGACCCTGCTTATATGTTATTAATATCACGGAGCGCGACCCCCTGGTGGCTGGAGAGTACGGAGACCATGTGACATGTCACGTGATATCATGGTATAGAGAGTGTGGAGAAAGAGAGCGCCCACAGCGGAGGTTTATCATTATTATATGCAGTCTGTTAAATGCTACTTCAGATGGATGGGAAAGAAGAGGTCCCCCACTGAGAATGAACTGTGGTGAGCTGGTTTAATGTAAACTGGACTGTTTCCAGGCTGGTTATTGGTCACGTGACTATGTTTAGCGGTTAGGGGGTCTGATTGAACTGATCACGTGATATCAACCTGTCCTGGTAACGCTACCAGTAACAGATCGTTCAGTCTGCTAGAGCAGGAGAAAAGTACAGGAGAAAAGTACAGGATGAAAGTACTGATGAAGTACTGAAGTAGAACAAGCAGGTAAGATCTGTCAAAAATAGGCTGACGGAGCGTAAAGGATGCTCGATAACATTTACTGGTTAACTACACTAACAAGACTAGCGAGATATTTAAACCCTTTTAAAGAGATCTCCGAAGTTTTGACAGGATAGCTAGACGATCTAGCTGGACGTGAGGACAGATTGCAGCATGTCAGTAATCTTGGTCCGATCAGAGCGGTTCAAATTCTAACACTCAAACCAAGATTTTACAGCTTTTTTGGATTTGCGTGAACGTGTTTTTAGTGCTCAGATGGTGTGAGATTTTAAAAAGCGGTTCTTATATTTAGTAAACTCTACAGCTACACAAATAGCGGGTAGTGGTGTTAATTAACTGTAAAATAAAAAATAAACAAAATGAAAAATGATAATTATAAAGTTTGTGCTCAGAAAATACTTAGTCCTAAGCAAATAATACAAAATTGATCGCCGTACTGTATTTCAAACTAATATCACTACTTCACATTCTATACTTCACATAATTTGACACAATCTATGAGTAATATGGAAAATGTAGAAGATCTGTGGTGGAGAGGATGACGTTAAATGGAAAAGAAAAAAACGAACGAGACCAAGATGACCGTATATTATTTTAAACGCTGAAGTTTTGAGAGGATAAAGGTTACGTAAACCACTCTGAACGTTCGTTGGCAGATAAGGAAGAAGACAACGTTATAATCAAATCTGATAAGAGATAAGGTCGATAGGGGGCTATAAGCTTACAGACACAAACGACCAAATTCAAAGGGCTGAAGAAAATTGTATCGCAGAAAATAAATGAGAAAAATCAAATACTATAGTAAGGGGAAAAGTGGTCGATTTAAGGGTTCCGTTGGATTTAAATGTTCACAAGGATTTAGCAACGGAATATGGTAGTTAGAACCCCTACGAACATAATTAGACTTGTCACCAATTTTGTATCTCGACAGAAACACCACTTTTTACCACTTTTTACCACCTTTGTACCACCTTTCTGGTTTGCCAAATATCTTTAGTTGTGAACGTCGTAGAAGGCTGGAAATTAACCTAGATTGTTTATCTTATCAAGGAGTAAAACTTTTAAAAGAAAAATTTTTACATCGGACAATCAGCTAATTGGATAATTACCAATTAGTTAATTACCAAAAAAAGTGAAAAATTTTTATTGGCTCAAGATGATTAAAATCGTTTGAAACACGGAGAAATGTAGTTTTTAGAAAAACTTCAAAACTTTTTCACTTACAAATTTTTTTCGAGACTTAAAAAATTTCGAAAATTTGAAAAAAAAATTTCCGCCAAAAGTGATCGAATTGCATGAAACGTGGATAAAAATGCTTTGCAGAAAAACTTCGAACCTTTTTAGATTGGGGAATACTAAAATCATCAATATTTGAAGTTGGAGTTCAGTAAATCTCGGCATATTTTAGTAATTAGGAATAGCTTAGCGGAAAGGGCTGAACCTGAAAAACGTTAACCACACAATATTAGAGTTTCATAACTAATTACAATATAGCTTTATCAAATTCCACATAAAGAAACAGCACAAAAGGACCGTTTAAGATCGAACCGATTTTACCTGCTGTATACTATCATTTTATTGATTTCAATGATCAAAAGTCAAAACCTCTCTGTACCGTCAATCTTGCCAATCTATACCAG